TTTGAAGATCTGATGTTGAGTGTTATTTGAAAGCAAATGAATGTGCACCCTTAATTTTCCTCCCCTGGGAAGGTCATAGTGTCTCCAAGGTGAATAACAAACACTGTCAGTATATGGTCAACAGTTCCTTCACTGAGACTGCAGAGAAGAGTGAACTGCTGCCATCACTGACTGTCGTGGCTGTACTTTTGCTTTACTTATTTCTCCCCTTCATTATAAATATTGGTTAATGTGTTTTTTGTCTCTTTAGTGTTTGTTTACTCAGCAGCTGGTACCTCTCTAGGCAGGAACAAACTATCTTAAAGGATAGAAATTGGGACAGATTTTGCTTGCATTGCTAACATCTCTACCTTCTCATTTTTTAGTATCTTTGGCACACTACCTACCCAGACAGGCTGCAGGGAAACTCGGACTGACATGGGCAAAATGGATTGCATGCTGGCGAGGAGGTGTAGCAGTTCACCGGGCAAGATACCCGTAATACTTGATTTTGCTATGATTATCCAGTGTAAACATCAAGATGAAGGTTAAGTCATAAACTGACCACTACCATAATGATTCATTGTGTTTTAATTGAACCTGGGGTCATTCTGATTTTTTCTTTTTTGGTATGATGTTTTTGTAGGATGTTATTACATTTCTAGCTCCTCAAATCAATAGACTTCTTATTAAACATTTGCATATTCTGTATTGCTCTTGGAAGTCACTAGTAAGGCTGAGAGGTTTCTTGAAGGAAGAACTTGCTGAACTGAGGAAACGGACAACTGTGCGCCACGGGCGTTGGCAGAAAATTTGCCTTGCGTCATGCTAACCACAGCGTAAATGGTGGCTGTGTGTGTTGTGGAGGCAAAAATATTGAACATCTCTCTGCTGTAGCATTAGACTGCCTTTGGGCAAGAGTGTGAGTGTGTGTGTGTTACAGGCCTGTGTCACAGGCGTTGTGACTGGGCTGACCTTGTCTCATGGGAGATGATATTTAGCCTAATTTCCTCCCAGACTCTACACTTGCCAGGTTCAGGTTTTAGAGCAGAAAGGGATAAATGTATTGCTCACACTGATGGCTGGGATATGTTAGAAGAGCAGTCTTATTTCCTCTTCATCTTTACATTAAACCATTCCCCAGTAGCTGACAAAGGCCAGTGTGGAGGTTGGATTTGCTGAGATAGGCAGTTACTGCCAGCTTTTGAGAGAGCAGAGAGGGGCTCTAATAGCTACAGGAAGCCAGTAGATCTTCAAAAAACACCTTTGATGCTGTGGACTGAACTGTTGTTGATAATGGTGCTAATTTCAGCCCTTGGGGAGACATCTTAATTTTCATATGGGACCAGAATATTTTTAGGAAAAAAATAATTTTTTCAGCTCCTATCTCACTGCTACAAATACCAGTAGAGAAGAGAGACAACCCCAGTCCTTCAGTAAGTGTTTCCAAGAGCAGAGTAAAAGAAGATAGATGTGATGATTACATTTAGGCTTGTGATGGTCTTAGATCTCCCATATACTGAGATTCTTCCTGTAGTACAGTGTATTTTATTACAGCACCTGCTATAAAGAATCTTTAGTACATGTCAGAACCAACAAGATTTCAGCCTCAGTACTACAGGGAGGCAACAACAGTAAACTTCTTGTCCAAAATTACATGTACTCTAAAGAAAACATTGACCTGTAGAGTCCCGCAATTGTCCTGACTCAGTATAGAACCAGTCCCAGACTTCGTAGCTTTAAGTGCTTCTCTCTTCACTGGTTTTGTGAACTGTTGAAAATAGAGTCTCCCAAAAGTACAATATACAATGTGCATCCTCCCTACTACATGCCTCAAGTTACTGGCATGTTTTATCCACTTGAGCCACTGTTAAGGAGTGCTAAACAATCACTCTTCCCAGAGCCATCCAGTGCTAGTGCCTTCTGGTTTCACTGCATCACCTCTTACTTGCTTGCTGAGATTATAACAATCCTCAGAACTTCATTTAGGAGTATCCTGACAGCAGGATTTCCTACACTGAAGAGTACTCTTTGGAAAAAAAAAACACACCGCTAGTGCATCAAGTACTTGACAAAAGCTATTTTCATTTAAACCTCTTAAATTTTATTAACTGGTTTAAGGTGACCTACATTATGTTGATAGGAACAGAAGTCCTCCCCAGATGTTAGCATATAGAAATAAATGTTTTGTAGTTGTAAGAATCGGTCCCTGAGACTGAGAAGACCAGATTTATGTTTCTGTCTCCACTAGAACTACTGTGAACTTCAGTAGATCAATGAGTTAAATTGATCTGATTATATAGAAGAGAATTTGTGTGTCTGATTTGTTTTTTTCCTAGGCAAGAATTTAGATCTGTTTTTCTTATATTTCTTTTCTAGATCTGTATACATAAAAATTTGTTCATGGATTTATTATGGAATAAATTAATTTGGAGGTACTATCATGGGGCATTTATTTGATTCTCATTAAGAAGATCAAAACACACTTTTGAGCCACAGGCTTGGATTCTTAATATGAAAAAATGTTCTTCCTGGTTACAAAGACATGGTTTTGCAAACTAATCGAGCCTGAGATTCTACTTCTGGTCCACATTAACTACATTTTATGAGAACAAACCAATTTGTCCAATTACCCCAAATTCCTTCCACATCTAGAACTCTGTACAACTTCCTACCGATAGACTTTTCCATACTATTTCCATATTCATGGGCTTATTCCAGTTATATCTTCTAGAGGAATACTACTGCAAGAGTTCTGTTTAGAGAGTATTTTATTACTTGTAAGGGTTTAGCTCATCCATGTAGTCTGATTGTCAGTTTTATTATTAGCTTACTGGAGTCTCTCTGTTTACTTTTTATTCATATATTCTGGAAAGACATGAAAGCCTTAAGCAGTACTGTGATCCTGAAGTGGGGGACATTCTACAGACTGAAAGAAAGAAAATCTCAAATGAAGAGATCTTAAAGTTACTAAGATATAGGAAGTAAGTAGGTGTAAAAAAGGAGAATAAGAAAATGAGCCAAGGTTTCAGGAAAAACAAAGATGTAGGCTGTCTAAGATTCCATGTAACTTAGGATGTTGGTGGCTGAAATGCATGTGAGTGTAAAGCAGAAATTCAAACCATTTCCTTTTCGCTTGTACTCCATCTGAGTCCCAAACACTTGATGGTCCTGAGGAATGCTGGTCCAAGGGTGAAGGTCATATGTCTTCTGCCAGACACCCCAATGTAGCCTGGTATGGAGGGTTAGCCCTGGAGCTTCTCACAGGCATGAGACAGATAAACATCAGGGCAGGTGGTTGAACATTGCCTGAGTGGCATCGGTACTTTTTTCCTGCAGACATCTGAGTGGAAACGTGCCCATGGTGGGTAGCATGATGATCACTCTGCAGGTTGGTTTGGTGAAGGTGTTCTCTATCTGTACCAGACACCCAGGAAAAAACTCCAAGGTGGATAGGCAGTGGAGGTGTCTGCTGTCACTACAGCAAGTGGAAGGAAGAAGTGGTATGTAGAAGAGAAGAAATAACAAGATTGAATGAAATTGGGAAGAAAAAAAAAATTGTAACACTTAACAGAAGATATGCCATAGGAATTCTCCTCACAGAGTGAAGCAACAAGCCTGCTAAATAGTGTCAGACTCGTAGTCTGTCAGATCAGGTGTTGCATTTCAGGAGAAGATCTTTGAGGAGGAACTAACCATTTCCAGTGACCAGGTGGAGATCAGGTCTCTCTCTGCGACCAGCCATGACAAACAGACTCCTATACTCTCTTAAGGAGAGCACTTCAAAACAGGGAAACCCATACTTCGTAGTTGCTTTCAAAAATAGTTTGCATACCTTGTAGAAAAGAGAACAGGATTTCCTGATCAAAACACAAAACTCGCAAACATATTCTGTCTGTTTCTTTGCCTTTTGCCTGAACTAGATTATTTTTTTTTTCATATTTGAAAAATAAAATCCAAGAGCATTTATGTCAGATGTCTAAAATAACTGTCCTATGCATCATGCAAGTGACTGCCAGCTTCTGAAAGAGCAGCAATTGTAATGCCTTTCTTTCCCTGCAGTAAATGGACATAAATATTCGCATGGCTGGGTGCATTAGGCTGGGTAGATTTATTCATACATTTGCTGGTAGGGAATAGAAATAGTAAAGTGTTGCTATTTAAAAAAAAAAAAAAAAAAGCACTGAAAGTCTTCTTCATAGTCTTTTAACTAACAGTAATGCAGTAATATGACATAGCTGAATTTGGCAAGACACTAATAGGTAAGTTCCTCTACAGGGTAGAGTGGCAATGAGAATTTAAGGGATGTTTGAATTGTTTTTCTAATTTTGCATACAAATATTGACATTGTGCAATACTGAATACGTTCAGTGCATGTGCAGTAGAGCTTACTTCGCTATTGCTGTGACTTCTGTGAAAGTAAGGTGGGGACTTTTTGAGTAAAGTCTCCTGGATTTGATCTGAAAGGTGTATATTTTATTTGCAGAAGAAAAGAGGCAAATATTAATTTTCATATTCCTTTGCTGTTTGATTATACTTAAAGTTTCCATTAGTTTTGGAGCACTAGTGAGCACTTCTGATTTGCTCTCTTTTTAAAACAAGTATTATTATTTCATAAGCATACCTTTCTCCTCAGAAATAGGAAATTGCCTTGCCTTCACAGCAGAGTTCATCTTGTCTAGTGTAGACATGTGCAGACCAGGTGTTGAGTCTAAGTCCCCTATTTCTGACTCTTTTCCTAGTCAAGGAAGAAAGATGAGCACTTCTAGAGTCATTTGTTTCTGAAATCTGTCTCAGGGTGCCAGGAATTTCACACTGAAAATATCTCCATTCGGTATACAGAGTCAAGAAAGGTACCAAACCATGGCTAAAAGGAGATGGGATAAACACACTTGTGAGGGATAGTAAATTCATGGTGCCATGTCAGTCGGTTGGCAGTGTATTTATGAAAGAGCAGTGTTTGACAGGATGGAGTGTGATGGGACGTCCTGTGGATTTACAGTCTCAATTTCCTATTTCAGGGAGGAGAACACTGCTATTATCAGGGAGAAATTCGAGGAAATCCTGTATCATTTGTTGCCTTGTCAACATGCCATGGATTACAGTAAGTCTGCTGTTTTGTTTTTACTGGCCTTTGCTTATTAGTATTTTAAACAAAACAGAGCTGTTTATAGTAAAAGAAGTGCTATTTATTTTCCTACTAATTTGTCACCAATATTAAGTACTCAACAATCTTTAGAAAAATTGTGTTTAATTTGAACCTCACAAAAGACTTGTTTGTTTGTTTTCAAAATTTATTGACAATGCATGCAAGTTTCTTTTTTTTTTTTTTTCTTTTTTTAAACTGAGGTTATATGACAGTGACCAGGTATCATTTTAAGATAATTTATTATAAGGATAGAAGAGTAAAAGTAGTTGAAAACATCCTATTCTACACGAGTAAACAACACTATCAGTATTGACATGAACCATTTGGAAATTGTGTTCTTTTTTTGTTGCTACAATGATGTATTTAACTTTCTTTTCGACTCTCTTTACAAAGGAAAGTGTCAGTTTAGAGTTTCTCTTGTCCTATCCATTTTCTTCACAGAATTGCTGGCCTTATGCTGTGTGCATGAGATAATACCTTTGGTAGAGTAAAATCTTGGAGAGTCTGGAAGAAATGATATAAAATTCTGCAATAATAATTTTTTTAAAAGTACATAATTTTAGTGCTTATATAATTAAAGCGTCTGTCATTTGAAGGTTACATGGAGCTGTGTGTTGACTGTACAGCTTTTGGACCTGTCTATTTTTGGCACTATTGAAAGATGCTAGTCAGGTTTTCAGAGCAACCAAGTAACTTCAGTGTCTGTTCAATCTGGGAATTACAGGATCTCAGCACTTTTGATACTGAGATCAGCTTGAAGAGTCATGCCAGCAGGTGAGCCTGTGTGTAAATTACCTGAGTTTTGCCTTTTTCTGAGGAAGCAGGGCTTAGCTGATAGAAATCTTCAGTTTATTGTGTATCTCCAACTATTCTGTAGTTTTAGTATCAGCCATATAAGTACATGTATTTAAGTAGTGTCTTTCTTCGATATCTTTATATTCTTTGTTAGGAAGGGGAGAATACATGTGGAAGGCTTGTCATCCTCGCACTTTTCTGATTTACAGCTGTGTTTATTTCTCTTATGATCAAAGTTGAGCAGCTCAAGAAACCTGAGCCCAGTTTCAATATGGACAGTAAGCCTAAAAATAGTAGCATCCTAATGCATCCTGAGCCACTGAATAGCTTCCATTAGCAGTGATCCATTAGGTCTTGGCCCCTGCTGACTCCTAGGAGAAAAAGCAGAAAGGAAGGAGAGCTTGCATATGTCCTTTCCTGACTTCTGTGGGTTTGTTCTTAAGACTGACCCTCCTGCTGCTCTATATTCTTAAATTGCCTGAGACTCAAATCGGTCCCTTCTAACACAGTTCCATGATGAAAAATGCATTTTTTCCCCTGTATTCACCTCTCCCTTGAGAGGTATCTATTCCCCCCCCCCCCTTTTTTTCTGATACAATAAAGGTTCAGCAGTTGTCCTTCACACAAGATGCAGTATGAAGCTTACTATAGAAGGCTGGTAATTCTAGTGTCCAGTATGAGAAATTAATGTTTTCCTAAGCTGTATTAAAACTTACATTTCCCAATGCTGCATTTCCATCATTACAGCTATCTCCTCCACAGTCGATTTTAAATGCTAAGTAATTACTAGAAACTCACACTGACAATCAGAGCTCCTCAGGTCCTACCACAGTTCAGAGTGTCTCGCTGGAATAAGGGAAGCTGAGGAGAGTTATCTTCTAATAAGGTCTGCAGGGCAGGAGCATTGCTTCCATGAATTTTAGGAAGTGCAGAAGGAGAGATGCCTTTAGTAGAATAACAAGCTTCATATTCACAAAGTTCATGCTAATCTCCCCTCTTCATTATTAGTATCCCTAGATCTTGGCCAGGAACAGCTGAATTTTTCATACATGTGAGAAAATGTTGTAGTTTTTAAAACATAAATTATGAATTCTTCTGTTGGTAATGTCTATCTTGTGGTATTCCTTCTATTAGTTAAATTAATCAAATGACTGGCTGACAGAATACTTAAGATTATGAATTTCTTCTATTCTTAATGACTGATATTGAAAAATGTATCTCTGCAACCTTAACTGGGAGCAAGCCATTTTGTTTGGATTTTTTCTGTTGTTGTTGTTTTCTGTGGGATATGCAGTAACCACAGTTTCATGAGTTAACACAAAAAACTTTGAATGCAAAACACGCTGGTTGCTGGGATGTTAACAAGCTATAGCCAGGCACGACTTGCAGTCCTGTGTTTCAAGCCGAGTTGCACAGACACCAGGTTGGTCTATGAGTCTGCTGCCCACTGGTGGTGAATATAAAAACTGCTGTTATTACTCCAAACTGGACTTTCACTACTACAAATTTGTTTGGTTGAAGAATATATATAATCAAAATTCAAGTTTTTGAAATAGCCCGTATTTTGCTATTGCTTTCTCTCTAAGACATCCGTGAGCATATGATTTGTTCACAGAGCACTGGATTATTGAAGTCAGTTAGAAAAGAGACATGAATGTTTTGAGTGAGCAAGTCAGATTATTCTTGTCACTGTTGGGTGACTTGGTCAGAGGTCAGTGCTGCTGGGTGCAACAGTTGCATGAGAAGCCATTTGCTGATAGTGTTTCATCTTGCAGACTGTGCTTAAGTAAAATTTCAATTAGAGGGAAGAAAGTTTTGCCTGATTAAGAGCTTCAGAATATTCTCAAATCTCATTTTATTCCCAGGTAAAGAAGCTTCAGCAGCTGATAGAATATTTATCTTAAGAAATATAGGCAGTATTTATTTCTAAAGAACAGGTAATTTGAAAGGTGAAACAGCTTTAAATTGTACATATACTCATGATCACACTAGATGTATGTTAGTCAGTCAGTAAGCCAAGCTACTTCTGTGAATGCTGGATGCTTAACCCTGGAAGTGAATCATAGTAAGAGAAGTATGCTCATAACTAGCTATAATGTTTTATAAGTTTAGTATATGCTTATATTTCTTAATAGTCAGAAGAATGACAGTCTTTTACTCACTGCATCTGGTCCAGTGCAGAACTAAAATTAATTTTGCTGATTTAAAAAAAAAAAAGCTGCATAAGAAAAAAACCAAACAACACAACAGTATCTGGTTTTGTTGTTTATAATTCTGATGGGCTTTTTTTGATGCCTTAAATTTTGCTAAAAAGTAATCTAAATAAATAAATAATCTTGCTTTCATGCTGCTGTTGTGTACTATGAGCCAAGTTTGAACTTATGGCTCATATTTATGGCCCAGCTTAAAGCCCTTAGTAGTGGCACTTTGAAAGGGACATGCTGATACAGCCTAATCCCAACCATGCATGTATGCCACTGCAATGAAGGCAAAATTATTAAAACGAAATGCTGATTTGGTTGAAGATCAGAATGGTAGTGATATAAGAAATGTCCTTTGGTTTATGCTCTTACTGAGTAAAGTCTTTATTAACACTTGCTTTTAAGGTACAATTCAAACACACTTGTACATCCTGAATTATGTTAAAGGCTAAACCTTAGTACACTCTTTACCTAAGTAAACTTAAGGTAACTCTTAATAGAAAGCATCCTTGCAGAATGGACCTCACCTTTGTTGTACTTTCAAGTGGTAATGCAAAAACACCTGGTGTTTCTGTCACAGACTATCTACATCCATATAGAGAGCCTTAACAGTTCAGTTTGTTCTTCATTTAGAGTTGAACTGTGTGTTGGAATTTAATATGGAAAATTGGTGATTGTGTGTGGGCCAGCAAAGTGACAGATTTTCTGAGATACATAACAGTGTGCTTATCATGAATGACCTTCAAATTTCTGTGGCTGAGGAGATTTATGCCATTAAGAAAGACATAATGAGTACTTTGTTAGAACCATGGGTATGGCAGAAGGCTTGGTCCTCTGTATCTCTTTTCATCACAACACATTGAAGCCTGTCTGATGGGATTTCCTATCTCCTTATCATCATATCATCAACATCATGTAATGTCCATATTGATATGATAATGCATATAGCCATTAATGTTTCCTAGAAATACAAACTTAAACTAACTCAATTAAAAAAAAAAAAAAAAAGACTATCTGTTGTAATTATTATTGCTGAAATGCCCAAAACAGCCCTCTATGCCCAAAAGACCCCATTATGCCATTTGTACTTGGTACTATATGAAATTATTGAGGAAAGAGTTAATCAAAACCATTAAAACCTAGGGATCAATTCAATTCAATAATATTTTTATTTGGGGGAAGGCTGTGCACATGTTCCAAATATGCTGGCTCCTAAAGATAGGTCCCTTATTTATTTGTTGCAGGTAGATCTCTCTTGCATGGGAGTGGGGGCTCTGAACTGGGTTTTCAGTTGGCTAAATTAGCCAATTTTTGTGGTGTTTGTATGTGTTGTAGAGAAACTTTGGGGAAGTAGGAAGAGTCTATATCATTGTGGGAGAAAATATCTTTCTTTGTGAAGTGAAGAAACAAAAGATTGACTCAGAATTACGTTCAACTCCTGAAATAATTTTTAACTGCTTCCTTTTATAAATATTTAGATTTTTAAAATATACGAACTTCTTAAACTTACTTCCATGTTGCACTAGTAACTGTTTGTTAAATCAATATTTACATTTCTTGCTCTTCACAGTGGGATGTTCTATGATGGAAATCATACTTACCTTATTGAGCCAGACGAAAACTACACTTCAGATGTAAGTAGAACTTACAGTATTCCTGCTGTGTTGTTCATTGAATACAGATGTTCATGGGTACAGGTTAGGCATAAGGCTCTGGGACCAGAGAGTCATCCCCTCATTCCCAACTCATTTACCTCATATTTAGTCGCCATCATCACATGCAAAAGTAGACCTTCAGAAATTAGGCAGTGGCGTGTGTATATGTGTGTACTCTGAAACACTTGGGTGTGGAGCCATGCAGCACCAGAGGGTGATGAGGGTCCCTTGGTGCCAGCAGGAGAAGCCTGTGAGTGCCCTGTCCCCTTCTCTGGCACTTCCTGCTCGGGATTCATTACATCCCTCTCCTGCTGTTTCGGCCTTAACTTGGTTCAGCAGCTCCTGTGGCTCTGATTGATGTTCCCTGGGCAGCTCTCTTAAGCCTAGCTCTAAGCGTGCTCAGCCACTATGCTTGATGTACTCGGGTATTTCAAATAAAAGATGATTAACTGTGGCGCTAGCGATCACATCACAGTTGCAAAAAAGAGGAGTGTACATGTTCACTAGTCTAGGTGTTGGATAACAAGAACTTTTGGAACTGTCTGTTTAATGCTCATGAAATGAATTAGTTTATCCAGGTTTAATACATGTGATTATTTACTATTTCAGGATGACTTCCATTTCCACTCTGTTTACAAATCCAAGTTGTTTGAGTTTCCTTTGGATGACCTGCCATCTGGTAAGATTTTTCAGTATTCATGACTTACTGACTTGTTTTAGTTTAAGGCCAAATTTGTTAATCGTATTTGATAGGTAATATTCTGATAGTATATTGTTTATTTGTGTATCTCTTCTTTTTCCTGATTAAATAAAAAAGCACTGACAAAAATTATTCTGAAACACTGAAAGCACTGGAAAGTGAAGTGATGAAAAATCCCTGAATCCAATGAATCAAACCTCTCCTAGACCTTCACGTTGTGATGCGTGTTTCTCTTAACAAGTCGTGTGGTCTATGTATTGCATTATATGCTAGAAGTTGTAGAAAGGAAAGGACTAAGGTAGCCTAAAGTTGATGAAAATAAACCCCACATTACCAGTGGTTGGTAACTCTTAATGGATTTTTCCTATCCTGAGATACAGGGTGAATACCATGGTGTGAGAGTAAGCCTGGGAGACAAGAACTTGCCAAATATCGTTTCTCTTCAGTGACTCTCTCCTCTCCAGTCTGTTCAGCATCGTTCACAGTACTGGCTGTAGTGTGGGTCATGCATTTCAGTACAAATTAATCTGGATGCAGAAATAGTTTCAAGTGCTTGTAGTGATGACTCCCCACAAACAGTTTACATAGTGTATGGAGGGAGGTTTTCAAAAAAATGAGTTTTCATTTGGGAAGTTGGCTTGTTAATTGAAACCAAAATTGCACTGTTTATGGCATATCCCCATTCTGTCAAGGATTTGCCAGTTTTACAGATGCGTTTTCCTACTCTACAAAATACATCCTAGACAAATAAAACTGTTCTTTGTAGACACTCAGTTTGGTAGAAACCACCTCTAGACTAATATCTTCAGGAGAGCTACAGATGTCCAGTCATCTTGTTACAAACTATTTGTCCTGTGGTAACGGTTGGATGTGCAATCTTATGGTGCTGGGTACTGCACATAGATGGGTCCTTCCCTGGAGCACAGAGTGTGCAGGTTTGCTAGTTGTTAAGCAAAGTAGAATCATTCAGAGAGCTAATGAGAAAAAACAAGGGAACTTGCTACAATTGGATCACCTTGATTTCAGTTCTAAAGAAGGAATCTTTTTGAGTCTAAACAAAACAGTGTCCCAGCTTGGTGCCTCATGTCCTCCGCTCATGATTGCCCAGGTGAGGTGGAGGAGGTGTTGGGATGGAGGGGCAGCACAAAAGGCTCATGCAGTGCAGGACATTGACCTCTGTATCATGAAGCTTCCTATGTACGTGCACCTTAGACACATACCATGGTTACTCCTTGTACTTGTGGAGATGGTAGTGTAATGAGTACAATTTATTGAACATAAGGCAAATAATAAAGTGCATCATTGATCACAGTTTCTTGAGGATATGTCATTTGAGAGATTGGAAAGAATGCAACTACTGCTGAGTTTAAAATAAGTCTTTTGTATCAGGTTGTTAAAGTAGGAGATTACTAGAGCAGGTACTTAATGGAAATCTATCAGCTGTCTTCTAAGATCTCCTAATAGTGAAATTTTATGTTTGAAAGATTTTGGAATAAAAATATTTTCTGCTTTTAAAATGATGAAAAGGAATTTATTGCAAATATAATCTACCAACTTGACCTCCACCAAAGCTTCTTGATTTTCAAAAAAAAAAAAGTTAAAGTACGGCTTCATTTTTTTTTCACAAAAATCCAGATATGCTTGTGCAGTTTTGATTCTACTGTAGATAACAAGTAAATAGTTGCTGGCTTTGCTATACAAAGTCCAACATGTGACATAATGGAAGATGTTGCCATTAGATTGAGTTAGAATCACAAGTTTGTAGAAAAGGTTGAAAAGGAGATTTAATTGTGGAGTGCTAGTGATCTTAATTATACAAAGATTTGTAATGTGGGTAAGAGGTATGAGGTGCTAATCTTCTATCATTTTATGTTTATAGTCCCATATATGGAGAAAGAAACTTTTTCTGCTCTCCCACATGCCCGTACTTGGTTTTGTAAAACCATTTGGAAAAGTGTTTCAGAGGTTTGTAGTGAAAGTTTTGGTAGATGTAATAGATTATATTCTCATTAGGAATCCCAGCATTTTTCTTTGTCTGTGATTATTCAGTTTATCTCTGTCTTTTAAGTCATCCTTCATGCACAGCCACAGGTCCAGAGGATGAGAACAGTTGGCACCACCTTCTGCTTCTCCACCTTTCACATTCTTTTGCTCCTTGGGTATTTTTTTTTTAAAAAAAAAAAAAAAGGCAAGCTATTGCAGAAGAGAATTAATTGTACTGTACTTTGCAATGGTCTGAGGAGGTAATGAGGACTTTAAATAAGGAAACCTTGGATGGATGACTTGGCACGCTTAGAGCATTTGACTTCATAATTTAGTAGACTGTATTTTTTCTCACAGTCTGTATTGAGACATACAGTGCCCTGGCATGGTCTTAGACAACACTATGTTACTGAAGGTGTTGTTTTTCAAATAATGCATAACAGATGTCCTTTTCTTTTGAGGTCTCTTGAATGATGTGTAGATGTGTCACTTAAGGACATGGTTCAGTGGGACTTGGCAGTGTTAGATTTACGGTTGGACTCAATGATTTTAAAGGTCTTTTCCAACCTAAATGATTCTATGATTCTATGAATCCTCATTACACTTTTTCAAGGTAATATATTCTCATCAAAAATTTCCTCTAGGCTTTCGCAGCTCTCTGTGTTTCCTGTGATTTTGCTGGTCATATTCCTTTGCCTGAGGGTCCCTGGCTCGAAATGCACCCTGCGTTAATTCATCCAGCTTGTGAATTATAGTGCAGTGTTAATGTGTTAATGTTAATGGCTGCATCATTCCCCTCTAGAGATGACTGACTTCCGATGGTGTGTAAAATGATGACATTTTCTGGTAAAGTTATCTGAGACCCTATATACATATTATAAATTATTATTTTATTGATTGAAGATTTATATTTTTACTACTTTCATTAACCATGAAATAAAACATAAAATGAGAGGTTGAGAGCCAGTTGTGTGGCACTAGAACACAGATTAAATTGATCAACACATGTAAAGCATAATAAAAAACAAATTTGTAAAAAAGTTTTCAAGATTCAGTTTCTCATCATTGCAGACTCTGGAGACTGAAGGTCTTTAAGCAATAAATAGGGACCCTTGGATGTGATTTAATTTATTTTATGTCCTTTTTGTAAAGAAAATCCACAAGTGTAAGTGTCAAGGTGTAACCATGAAAACATTTTTAATCAGAGGACCTATGATTGTGCAGGCCCCTCCATAAAGAGATACCTGCAAACTTCACACACCAAAATGACTGTATGATCCCCAAGATCTAGCCAAGACAATACCATTTAGTCATGCTTTGCTTTTCTGGTTTGTTTTATCAGTAACTAGCAACTCTTGGTTAAGAGTAGCACTTATGCCTGGTAATGTTTTGTCAGATGGGCAGTTCAGCTTTGTGTTTTAAGATTTTGCTGATATGACAGCTCTGTCAAAGTCCTATCAGCATTGTTTTTAATACTATTTTTTGAAGCTTATGCACAAATTGCACAGTTAATGTACAGCAGGTGGGAGGTGGAGCTGTGAGAAACTTTCCTGTCTCACCAGTGAAATTGAACAGTTCAGGATTTTGTAACAGTCAAAAGTTGTGTACAAAAGCATGTGAACTGGAAGTCCCTTAATTTACACAGCTCCCATAGTACTGTCTACTTCTCTGCAGGACTGGTAAAATCACTCTGGAATACTGAAATCAGTTTTCAATTCCCAGAGACTGAAAGGATGTCCAAAGCTGCAGAAAGCACAAAGGAGGGAAAGTAGCCGAGAGAAAAAGACATATTACAAAATATGCAACTGCAAACAATTAATTTATGTTTCTCAAGAAAAGATCTTCTTGGGGTTATGTGAATAGCAAGCATGGTTATACAAGATAAGGAAAGAGATTTCTGTTGTATAGGGAAAAGTGAGGCAGAGGCTATGAATATAAAAGATGGAAAAATACTTCTTGGACATTTAAAAGGGTGAGAGCAAGTATTGTCTTCTGCTTAGTTTATTATGTGTCCCTTTCTGTGAGTGTCTAGTAATAGATTTGGTGAAAGGGATTTGGCAAAAGAATAAACTACTTGGTGCTTATGATTAGAGGTTTAAGAAATTAAAGACAGAGTGGGATTAGCAGGGAGGAATACTGTATTGATAGTGAGCATTGCCAAAATTTCATAAGGTTTCTCCCAAGTCTAACATATTTTACTTTGTGAATATAATCATCTTAAAGCATTAATTTTGCCTTCCATGCTCTTCTTATTAATTCAGGTAGCTATTGCGAGAGCCATGTGAATGTCTGCTGAATTCCCCAAAATGTGATTCACTCCATGGAAGTACTATGCTAATAATATTACATGCCCAGTGTTGGTGAAGTTTTGGCATAGAACATCTGCTGTGCTTTCTGAAGTGTGACACCCACTGATCATCTGTTTCAGCAGACCCAGATTATCACTAGTAGAGTTTTTAATAAGAACCCTGTTGCTGGGAAGCATCTGTAATGTTGTCTCCTTTCTAGCTGGAAACTTGAAAAAATTAGGTTGTTACCACATCTGATGTGTGGAAGAATGTCATACTACTGTCATGCGGCATCAGGGTCACTAATTGTTGAGCTATATTCTTGTAAACAGTCAATATATTTGCCTGTGTTTTCTGCTTAGAGTTCTGGCAAATGAATGCTACATCGCAGAAGTTTGTTGTAAAGCCAAGACATAAGAGAAGTAAAAGGCAGGTACGTGCCAGTATGCTTGTTTATAAGTAATATTGCCATCAAGTTTGTTTTGTGTGTGCTGAATTAATTTGTCCAGCTGGAGTCCTGCTGCTGGTTTGGCACGAGGTCTCTGTATCAATACAGCTATTACAAGAAGAGGTATCTAATGTTGACAGAACATTATTGGGTTCTCTTGGACATTGTCCATCTGAAGAGTTACAAAATTGTTAAACACTGCTAAATTGCAAATAAAGAAGTAGCTAAAATATTTTTCTTATTTTGAGTATAGAGTTTTATCAGAAACTTCTAATTAATGAAACATTTACAAATATTTTTTATGTTGCAGTTGTGACAAGCAGCTACTTTATCTCGCTTGACTTTGATTTAAAATAGATATTGTAGGTTGGGAGTTCATTCCTTGTTTATTAAAGTGGGGGACCAGTAAGTGCAGATGTTTGTCTGTACCCTGGAAAGATAGCAACAATTCTTTGCATTTTAGGAATGGAGCTCAAATGATGGTACAGTTAAAAACAGAGCCAGATCAGGGAGACTGAACAGTGCAGGCAAAAACGAAATACTGAGACCAGTGGGAGGAGAATATGACTTTAGTATCTTTAATAAATGCAAGCCTCTCAGAGGCAAAAGAGAAGTGAGAAAGACATTGGAGAAATTCCAGAAGTCATTCCTGAGAGTCTGTCTTTGTATCAGGTGATTTGCTACCTTTCTATAAACTAGCCATTACTCTGCATTTTTAAATCATAATGATGAAATAACTCTCCTGGAAAACCCAAGAAAACAAGGACACGATGAAGAAGCACAGTCGTAAATGTTTCTAAGTGCAAAGTAGGAATAACACAGAGGTGAGTACTGCATTCACTGTGTGAATTGAGCAGTGTGTGAATAAATAATAGAATTGTTACAGATATTTTCCATAAAGAATGCAGGAGGGATCCCTTTCTTTGTGGAAAAAAAAGTTTACAGCTGACACAAGCCATTTTTATAGATATAGGCCCCATTAAGGATTCTCTTTCTTTAAAAAAACCTAAATTTGGTATTAGATGGGTTGAAAGACTTGATTTCATTGTTTAAGGTCATATAAATGTCCTGGTGGAGGTGAAATAATTTTTTTAAATGATGCAAATAAGCACCAGAAGTTTTATCAATATCTGAGACCAGAAATAGAAAAAGGTGTATGCATGAGAAGTTTGGTTTCTGAAGCTGTTTCTAGTTACCAGTTAGACTCTTTCTGTACTCTGGTAGACTCCCTTACGGTTGTACTCTTTCCCTAGGTTCGTCAGATTCCACGTAAAGTTGAAGAGGAAACAAAATACATCGAGTTAATGATTGTAAATGATCATCTAATGGTAAGACTGACACACTTCAACATCTTAAAATTATCATTGACATCAAATTTCCTTAATTTATCCATAAAGGATGACAATAAAGAACACTATATGGACAGAATAAATTCAGTATGCCCTTTAGAGAAGAGATTATGGTCTCATTAGCCACTGATGAAGTTGCTTCTGAATTTTATCAAGGTAATTTCACCAAGAATACAACCAGGCCTGAGTGTCAAAAAGAAGGGTCATAAATTAAAGCTTTGTGTCATAATGTAACTAATGTCAGTGTGACTTAAGCTGATGATTTTCTTTCAGACTTTCATGAGCACTTATCTTAGTTATAGCCACTCAGCAATCAGTAATGCAGTTGTTGTGATTGTGCAGCCGCTGTTGACAATGGGGAGATTAATAGTGACTAGATTTTTTTGATCCGTCCTAATCAATATAGAGAAAATGATTTTATTAAGCTTGTATACTTCCTCTGGGGGAACATAAATAAGCTCTTTAATGTAGTGAAAAGAGACACAATAGAAATTAGTGTATTGAAGAAAAACCTGGCTCATTCAAGTGTGAAAAGACACAAATTTATGTCAGTGAAGATGGTTAATAATTAATGAAAGTAATGTCAAATGAAATGGTGAATTCTCCATCAATTGCAGTCTTCAAATGCAGACAGTGTATGTCTGGAAGATGTGGTGATATCAAACACAAACAATAGGATTTGGTCTTGAAGTAACTGGATAAAGTTCAGACTGGTGGTGCCCTTCCAATTGGTGACATTATTTGGTTTTGTGGTCCTTTATGACTTTAAAATCAAAATACATCTATGCGTTTTATCTACCCTTTCTGTAATGTGCAGCTTCCCTCAAGCAATACCTAAATTGAAAAAAATAGACATCGGAGTGTACAAAGAATGTGCCACTGTCCTTGGACAGCATACTTCTCCATCAGCTCAGTTTAGTGAGCATAGCAATAAATTCTTAGATTAAACCGGACAATACTGGATGCAGAATTCCCTAAATTGGTGTCATTGTGTTTGATCCTGAAGACCTGAAGCCACAACTTTCCCCTTGAGACCTTATCTGTCTGGGTCGATTCCCCTCAAGGACAATGTTTCCTAATTTTGGTTAATTGTAGCTACTGTGAAAGTCAGTCCACTTACTTGGTTCTCTGAAGCAAACACCAGTGAACATCCATAGTTGAAGAAGCTGAGTAGTTTCCTCCAGGGAGAAGGAAGTATCGTATGCTGTGGGCTCCTGCCTTGCCCCATGGCCTGGGCTAGCGCGTGTATGTATTTGAAATACTCTGTGCATGCAGTCCATGTGGCACTCCAGGTGCACTCAGCATGGAGCTGACACCCATGGAGTCAGAGCCATTTTCACTGTTCATCCACCCCAGGAGCTTCCAGAGGGAGCAATGAACCTCGTGTTTCTTCCTCTGGTCCATGGAGCGGGCTGTGTTCTGCCAGCCCCCCTGGGCCACTCACCACTGCAAGAGGTGCGGTGCCCTCCGTCTGCCCTCTCAGCTGCTTGTCCATCTGTTGCTTCCAGTCGGGAATAAAGCCTTTAAAACCCAAACATTGAAATGGGCTTATAAATTAGTATACTGAAAACATTTCCATAGGCCTCCAGCATCTCTAGACATCCTAAAGTTTGAGGTTTTAGTTACAAATAAAGATTTGAGTAGTATACTTAATTCCCTTCATTCCCATGCTTCATTTTCCATTTATTTTGTAGATTTTTCATTTCATCCAGCCATTTTTACAGTTTTGTCCTTCTGGGTTTTTTAAGTAAGTGTAACTTCCTGATTTTTTGTGTTTTTTCCCCCCATTCCTGCTTGAAAGCATGCTTTTCCCATCTGCTAGTTGCTGAGCACTTCTTGCCCACTAATAGATCCTAACTTCCAGAAAATATGGACAACTTGCACTCCAAAATCAAGTGTCATGGGGCACAACAGAGTTAAACATTTCTGAAAATCTTGGCCCTTTTGTCCTAAATTCTTCTAAGGTACTTGTGACTTTCATATTCGTGGTGCTCATTTATAAGTGTTTTTTTCTGCAAATAGTATGTGGACAGCTATCATCAGTGTCATCTTTACAACACTGCATTACAGATTTTGGTAAAGGTGCCAAGTGATTTGAACCAGTTACTGTGGTATTATGGGAGTGTGAAATTGTGCATGAAGAAATTCAGAAGACAGCTTGAGAGAACTGAAAAAAAAAATAGGAAGTCTGGTAGATTAAAACATGGATGCAGACACTCTTGGGATAACATCTCTAATGAAGCCTCAACTATGGAAGTTGTGTTGCTAATTGCTGTATTGGCATTTGGAATTAGCTTTAAAATTGCCAGTAATAAAGATAACAAAGAGAGTAACAATATGTTCATGTTCCTATAGCATTTTTTAGTAAAGATCTTAGAGTACTTTCCAAAAAGGCATTAATAGTTCCTGACAACAGCTGTTGTAAAATATGTCAGTAATGCGCATTTCTGAGCATTTTTCTACTAGTGCTTATTAACGTTACATTCAGCAAAGGAGACCAAACCTTGCACAGAGGTTTCACTGTTGGTGCAGTTGTTTTTTACCCTGTGCTTTTTTTGAAATGGAGCTTATTTTTTCTGAAGTCCATATATGTAACTTATCTGTGTTTGTTTCACAGTGTAAAAAGCACCGCTTGTCAGTTGGCCATACAAACAGCTATGCTAAATCAGTTGTGAACATGGCAGATTTAGTAAGTATCACTCAAATAAATGTTCTTTTTCGTGTGAGATGAGTCATATGATTCTCCAGCCAATAGATGCAGGAGTTATCAGTTCATAGTACACCTAGTAATAACATATGTGAAGATCACAAATTTTCATCTAGAACCAGTCAGCTACCTGTAAAGCCTTTGTCTAACATAAAACAGAATGCACTAAAATTTCTCCAGAGCAAGTGCATTTGAGTGTATGATTTAGAATAGGGACATACAGGTAGATTATGTGGATTATATTTGTGACACTAAATCAGATGAGCTGCTTGCTCTTGCACCTCACCCCAGAAAAGTATTACTAGAAAAAGAAAAATATGGTTCCCACTCTTGAAAGCATTTGGTGTGGACTATTAACCCCCAGTATTGAAAGCATGAGCCCCATCAGGATGGCCCTGATGATTCAGTCAGCACGAGGTTAAATACTCCTGTAGAGGTGTATAACAGTGAAAACTGTGGTTTTATAGATTACTATTTGGTATAAGAAAGCCCTCGAGTTGCTGGGGTGAGCCAGATGTTATAAAAGACCCGTTAATTCTAAATCTTTGAACTATTTGGAATGGTTCTATAGTAGTATTTCAAAAAGCCCATCTCCCTTCTATGAACCTCTGCCTGTGTAGGACCTGCAAGGGATCTTTTTTTCAGGCTGAGCGAGCTGTTTGAAGAATTAGGCCTAAAATTTAGATTTGACTTTATTTTCATGTTTGTTGGTTGGTTTTAAGGGAGATAAAGTCACCTGGGAGAAATTAAAGTGTGCTAGAACAAGCTAGATATTTAGTTATGTAAAAATGCAAGCTATTACAAAAAAGGGGTAAAACTCACCTTTATTCTATTTGACATAATATATGTGTTCATTCTGTTAATGTACTAGATATATAAAGAACAACTTAACACCAGGATAGTATTGGTTGCCATGGAAACCTGGGCTACTGATAACAAGTTCACCATATCTGAAAACCCCTTGGTGACCCTACGTGAGTTTATGAAATATAGGAGGGATTTTATCAGAGAGAAAAGTGACGCAGTTCACCTTTTTTCGTACGTAACCTTGTGTGATGTTTTATTACTGGGTTTTTTTCTTTCCATGGGGGTTGCTTATCACAAGTGGCTGATACATCTCCTTTCTGTTCTGTGTGTAATCCACAATAATTCAGAAAATGTTTCTGATGGGGAGGTGGGAAAAAGTTAATGCACAAACTTCCTGCCTGTGCAACTAGAGGTTTGACTTTCATTTTAGTTTTAATGTACTAAGCCTGAGCTGCATGCGCTGTAATCCTTGGTTATTCTGTGCAATTACCTACTCTGCAAGCACAGCTACCTGGAAGGTGATGGATGCATGGTTCCACATCAGAGTCTGCCTTCTTTGGCGGTAGAGCATGGACAGCCTGTTGTATTATTTAAAAGCAGAACATTGGTTTTGAAACCAGTGAGGTTTCCTGCTTAAAAAGCACTATGGCCTGCTTTACTCTGTTGAATGACCTGCATGCTGCAGGATTACTGGAGTGTTTCCGATCCTTGAAACAGTTTGTTGTTCAGAGAGACATGTGCTATAAGAGGAATAAGCTGGGAGGAATGTTATTTTCTCTAAATATCTTAATTGTTTTGGAAATAAGATTGATAAGATACATCTACAAAAATAGAAGAGAGATTCGTGGCTGAGATTTCTGAACCATACGAGACAGGCCACATGAATTGCTCTGTTGGAGTCCTTATCCCTCTCTGTTGTAGGAGCCTATGTGCATAAACTTAGCCTAAACACCTCACTTTCACATGATCTTAGTAGGGTGACAGGATACCCAACCCCAGTGTCCACCTTCTCAGAGTTTTTGCACATGCCTAATTACTGTCATTGACCTCCGCTATGAAGAGAACTAGTAAGATCTGCAAGTGATGCTTACAGATTTTAGTTTGTCTGTGTCTCAGTGCTTCATCTGTAAAATGGGAATCAGGTTTTCTCACATCATTCATGTATCTTCTCTGGTGATATTGTAAAGTCCTTTGGAAGTCTTGTTCTTACAAATGTTTGTGGATTGGCTAGGACAAAGAGGGCCCTATTTGTCCTGTGACTGTAATGCTAATTCTGGTGCTATCCATAACACCACCACCAGTGGTGTCTGAGGTATTGCATTCATAGACTGTTTAGAAATATCACTTTCTGAAATTGTGCGTGTGTCAGACATGGCTAAGTTGGAAGATGAGGCTGACTGGTGTGATGATACAGTGGTTACAAATGAACTTACACCTTCAGCACAGTTAGCCCATTGTATTGTTTCTTGATGTTCTTCTGTTTTCCTTTAAAAAAATGAATTTGCTGCAGCTCAGGTGGATCAGTACTCTGAAGTGGAGCAGAGTATATTTTGTCTCCAGTTACTGGCAGTCATTCATGCTGATGTGGTAAGCACCAAAGAGATGATTAGATTTAGGATCAGAGTACCTCTGTCTCTTGGATGCGGTTGGCTGCAGTTCCAGGGAGTTTTCACTTACCTCTGCATCAGGGAGCCGTGAATGCATCTCCATTTGAGTTGTACCACATCAGCGCTGCGAGTAGACATGTGTCTTTTTACCAGTCTTCCATGTGTTGTCAGTGTGGTGGCCTCTCCTGCACTCTGTCTCTAGCATGTGCCAACAGAAGTAATTTGCTGCAGTAGTATGTCAATGAACAAAAGGCTGGTGAGAGTCAGGTGGTTTGGCAAAACAGTCTTCTTCTTGTGCTTTCTTACATTAGATAGTCTGAGAAGGAGGAGGGAATATGGTATAACTTTTCTGGAGATAATTTGTCATGTGAGGTTTGTGAGTGGTTATCTGTTTTTCCCATTTTGTTTTTGCATAGTTTGCAGTGTAGTGGTGGCAACCAGCATTTGCAAATGCCAGTTTCTCATTTGGAAGTGAGAAGGGTAAACACCGGGATGGGTAGGTGCAAAACTCTTGGTCTGAGCAGGGTAAACTTTCTTTTCTTTTCCTTTTTGTCAAAGGGGCAGTCGATTTCAGAGCAGTCGAAGTGGTGTAGCCCACACTGGTGGAATCTGCTCCTTGCTTAAAGGCGGAGGTGTGAATGAGGTAGGTGGGGATACTGGTATGAAGAAAAAGTGGTGGAAATTTATCTGCACAGAATTTATCAGCGCAGACCTGTTCCTCAAAATATCTTGCTGCTTCTTTGCTGATGCAGTTTTAGTGCAGCTCTATAGAAGGGATGTCTCGATGAAGAGTGATGTGGGAATAAAGTCAGATGTAGATTCAAATACACTTTTCAGCAGATTCTACAATATCCCATCATTCATACTTGAAGCCACAACGTCAAGAAAGAAGCAGCCTTTCTCTTACTTCTCCATAAGCCAGTGTTTAGTTTTCATCACTTGTCCATTATCGAGCTGCTCTGAAGTAAGAACTCATAACACTGTGCATCTGATTTTGCCTTTTATTGCCTTAAAATGAGAAAAGCTTCACTTGTATCTGAGATACATGTATGTAACCCAGTACTCTTCCTACTTTGGTCGTTTCTTTCAGTTTGGAAAGCCAGACTTAATGGCAGTTACCCTTGCACAGACCTTGGCCCAAAACATCGGCATTTTCTCAGACAGAAGAAAACTCATAAGTGGTAAGGTTGTTTGCTTTTTAAATCTTAAAAGGTGGAGGATCTTATCAGTGTCTCTCTTATATGTATTTTTTCCCCATGTTTCTCACAATGTTGGAATATTTTTATTTTTCATGTAATGACACGAGGAGAGACTGACATATCATTAATTTTCCTCTATTTAAATGAAATCCCTCTGCCCATAATTGCTGGCAGCACTGGTGTCACCATTTCATTAAAAATAAATCATAAAGGTGTCTGCCACTTCCATTCATTTCAGGGAGATTGATGTCACACCCACAGACTGAATGGCTGCCATCTACATCAATGGTAGAAACATACATTATTAGACCTGGGGATGATGAGAAGCTGCCTCAATCCTGTTATGCAGGATGGTTTTGACAACATAGCTTTTTCCCTGTTTGCCTTGATGGAATTCCTCTTGTAGATTACCCAGATCTCCTGTGTTTGCAACTCTACTGCCACCATTTCTCTGATGTAACCTTGGTATTCAACTTCTTAGTATCCCCTATTTACCTTCAATGCTTTAATTCAGATCTCCACCCCCACCCCTCAACAAGCACTTCACCCTCCCTGCTTCCATTTTATATGAAGTCTCAGCTTGATATGATTAAAATAATAATACAGTTTTGAGACAATTTAGGTGATCAATTGGAGTGCTTAGTTATTGGATCATGGTACTTATGTGACCTACATTAAAAAAAATGGTAAATTACTGTTTGAGTAATAGAACTCTGCTTAGGTGAATTCTGGTCTCAGGCAGTGTAAAGATGGTATATAATGCAGAGATACATCTCCATGTAAAGATTTTTGCAGTTTACATAATTTTATTGTGAAAAACATTCAGAAACATAGGATGGATGTTCTCTGCTACTGACATGTTCAGTATTAATTTTTCAGCTGCATATTATTAACCTGATACAGGGGCAGGGTAAAAGTGAAAATGATGATAGTGGTGATTCCTTTTCTTACAGCTGAGCACAGGGGCAGGACACTGTTTTGGTGGGGAGGGAGGTGAACACAACTGTTGGATAGAGCCTCATTTCCTTTTTAATTGTACTTTTAAAATGGAAGCAGTAAAGCGATGTTCACATATTATGGTGAGGCAAACTGCAGAAAGAGACAGTATACATGGAAGGCATATGTACAGAAGACACAGTGTTGAAAGCAGGGGTCTGAGACCAAAACAAAGCAGTCCCAGCCAGCCTGGTGATGCAGAAGGGAGGGCTATCCTCTGCCTGCCGGGGAGTTGTGGGGGGAAGAGAGGCAGGCAGGGAAGGGAGGGAGAGCAGAGGGAGAAGGTGCTAGATCCTGCTGTACTTGCTTGTATTTACTGACCATTTTCTGCATTTTTGTGTGCATCACTGGTTGTTTTGTGGGTTTTTTTTTCAAGCAAAGATTTTCCCAGTCATATTAGCATAGTCGAAGAAGAGAATTAAAAAGCTAGAAGAAATAATATAATTAATTTTTTTAATTCTGAAAAGTTGGGAATCAAATGTCATAACACCGGAGAAGGTGGGAGAGCTGATTCATGATTTCCAAGTGCTGGAGGCTGACACTGCAGTTTCCCCTAACTTCAGTTTAAAAGAATGAAAATAAGACAGGACATACTTTCAGAGCTTAAGGTTGCATAGACTCATGTACTGTTTTTGAAGGAAAGTTTGTCAGCATGCACTGATAAACTAAGGTGTGCAGTAAACCAGCAAATTATTCTTTTCAACTTGTATTTAGATATGAAATGGAATTGACTACATTGTTTTTTTTTGTGGAAAGAAATGTATGGTTTTGGACTCGCAACACTCAAGATGTAATATTTTCTTTTTTTGTCAGGTGAGTGTAAGTGTGAGGACACGTGGTCTGGATGCATAATGGGAGACACAGGGTAAGGTATTTCAGTAAAGGAAGGTCATGTCCTTCATACAATGACATAAAGGAAAGGTGTGAAAAAGTTTGTCATTTGTGATTCAGCAGAATATTTTCTGTGAATCATTTTTCAGAAAGTAAGGTATTAGCTATACAGCATACATAGAAAAGACATTTTCAAAGAAATGTGAGAATAAGTGAGTTAATGAGAGGTTATGCGAGGAATTTTGGTGACTGCTGGTTTAACTCATAAAGCAAAGGGCTCAACAGCCAAACCAGGTCATTGCAAAGAAGCAGAAGCATGCTTCTATTCTTTTATCCTGCATGTTTGCTATTGAGTTGTGGGAACAAAAAATGACACATCCTAATTTTCTGATTTTTCTGATTTTTAGTATGTTAAAAAGCCAATCTGAGAAGCATTCTTGATTCTTGTAAAAGTGATTTCTTTTCTAATGACCTCTAAACTCTTTATCTGAAGTCCAAACCTTTCAAATAATTAGGTACAAAAAAAAGCTTACATTCATCTAGCTTACTGATGAAGGTTGCTGAATCCCACATTCTTTGTAGTCTTTAGACCTAAATCATAAACACTAGAGATGTAAAAGGCGAATTATGTTTTGCAAGCCATCACTCCCATCAATGCAATATTAATTTGTATAGTGCTTCTGCTAGTATTTTTTTATCCAGTGATGAGTTGGTATGGGAAAGCTCTTGAGACTCCAAAATCTGCTTGAAGCATAAGTACTTTTATGACTAAGGACTTAAATATAAAGATCACTTGAGTTACTTTGGGAAAAATTCTTCCCATGTGGAAAGGATCCATGCAAAGATTCTCTGGATCATATTGTTTTTAGGTGGTGCACTGTACTTTGGTTGGCAGTTGGTACTTGAATGAAATTTATTCAGTGGGACATGTGAGAGAGGGAAGCTGAAATGTTAGCTGATGTTTGTTAAAAGCATGTTTTAAAATGGCATAACTCTATTATATAAAAATTCTGTGGGCCAGGAGAGCAATTTCATCTAAAAGGGAAATGAGCTATGATCAATCTTTGTCTCCTGCAGTATGTATGGGAAGAAATAAATGTATTTCTGAGATCAAGTCTGTTAGCTGAACAGGTCATGTTTGTGAGAACTACACTGTGTAATAAGATTTGTGGTATTTGATATGAAATAACTTAGTGAAATGTTTTAGACCTCTCACTTTCTATGAGCTCTATGTCATTGTTGAAGATTCTTTGTCATTTACTAAAATGATTTACAAATTAGAGTTACAAGCAGATAGTCACTCTTACTCTGAACAGTGTGGTTTTGTACTTTTTCTAAAGTATAATATTATATTTCTCCTCCTATTTTGAAAAAAAAAAAATATAGTGTAAAAAGCACTATAGAAAGTAATCCTGCTGCTTTATTTCTGTGTAGGTATTATCTTCCAAGCAAGTTCTCCAAGTGTGATATTGAAGAGTATCATGAATTTTTAAATAATGGAGGTGGAGCCTGCCTTTTCAATAAACCAACCAAAGTAAGCATTACCTTATTGAATATGATTTCTACTCCATTTCTTATTTAGATGAAACCAAGAAGAATGAAAATTATAATGTTGGAAAAAATAACACTTGTAATTTTGATATTTCTGGTTCTCTATAAGTTCTAAATTTTCCAGTGACATATGAGTGAAAGTATTTAAATTAATTTTTAATAGTGGTTTCATGTCCAAAAGAGTTACCACATGCTTTGATCTAGAATCATTCCTCATGCAATTCATTCTGAATATTGTAAATACAATATGTTGCTGAATTTATTTGCTGAGGTTTCAAGTGTCTTGGTAAACTTTTGCACAGCTTGATTTCTAATTTGCATTGAACTGATGTCTTTTGGTACAAATCTCTAGAAGGTGAAGCAAGATTTTTTTTTTATTTCACATTTGTCTGTAGAGGAAGAACTGACTCCCAGAGCCTGTAGAGGGTTGCACTGCCATGCAGCCCAGCAGCTTTGCAGACACCAGCAGTTGAGAGTGGTTGTGATGTTCTCTCTGGAGAAGGCAATTTTTACACTGGCTCTCAGAACAGAGTTTGAAAACTGGGACTAGTTTTTCTAAAGGTGGAAGAAGCAGAGCAGGAGAGAAAGCCCCAAGGTGTAGGGCACAGACACTAGGAGAGTCCGTGGCTGCTGGGCACCCGTCACACTCCTCATTCCCCAGGTGCTGTCTACACGGTCACCATCATTGTCATCAGGGCCTGTCATCCCCTGAACTGCGTGTGCTGGGCCAGGAACATGTCTGGTGAGAAGTGCTTGGGTCATTTTAGCCCTGTGTTAGCTCCCTCCAGGCTAGTGCATGTGGCTTTGCCTTGTGCTGGATAGCCCTCCAGACAAGCAAGGCCGGCGCATCCCTGCTGACCCCTGGTTCTCAGTGCCACTGTACCTCACCTCATTTAGCAGGGTGTGTTACCTCCCTAAAGGCTTGGGGGTAGAAGAGCAACAAAAGCATTGAGACCCACTTAAATGACTGACCAATCCCCTCCAAGTTTACCTCTAAAGTACAAAATCAGAGGTCTTGCTCTATGAGTCTTGGAAATCAGGAGGAGTGGGGATTATCGGGAGATAGTATTCACCTTTTCTTGCTTGTCTCAATTTTGTCCTGCTAAACAGGTATATTCACATGAAGGATGCATATGAAATGATTCACTGAGACATTTGAGGGAGATAAATACAAAACAAATATAAAGAATCTCCAGCCAGAATGCAAGCTCTTCTACAACAGAGGATTTGCAACAGGGTTTCAGTATATTCCTGCTCCATTTATTAAAGCATGTGTTAAAATGTAAAGCAATCAGGATAATGATCTTGATTCTTTTCTGTATTTAATTAATGTTATCCTCTATTTAATGGCTGTCTTTCAACAAGTGAAGGAAAGAGACTAAGGCAGACAGACAGTCCAACATGGAAGAAAGACTTGATAGCTGAGATGATCACAGATGTAAAAGAGAAAGTTAATTCTGGAGTGATGCACATTCCTCCTGAAGCAGCTGAGAAAAAGCGCATCTTCTGACAACCACAGAATTTCAATAAATGTTAGAGAGGGGAAGAGAAGGCATCAAATTTGGATAAGCTGAGCCTACTCATCTTCAAAGCTGTCATTTTCATTGAAGAATGTGTTATTAAAAGTGGAGGGAAAGCACTGTAATTCATTAATAGGTTGTAAAATTTCTCATTCTTTAAAATGCACCTGCACTTTAGAAGTTTGCTTTTTTCCATCTCATTAAAAGTGGAGGGAGGTATTGGTCGTTTTATTTCTTTGCTGAGTGAATTTTTTCCATAGTGTAATGTGTCTTACTTGGACTTGTTTTGGCGATTATGTTCATTTACACATCCGTCACTTGGAAAAACAATTACTCTCATCTCAATTTAGATTGGCAGCATTTACAATTTTTTCTAATGGCATGTGGAAATGTGAAAGTTAGATGTGGAAGTCAGAGTGACTTAGACTCCTTTATGTATCGTTGTTTGGGCTGGTTTAAAGTTATTGTCAATGGATGTCTGTCTAATCCACAAGGCTGTCAAAGACGTGTATCCTAGCAAGGGATGAAACACAAACTTACTTTTGCTTTCCGAAAAACACGAGATAAAGGAAAACTGATGTGACAAGGGGCAGTGTTTGACAGTGCTCCACTGTAAGATCAGCTGTGATCCCGAAAATTATGTCAATGACTGCTGGAGCAGATTGAGCATATACTCTTTTCAAATGAATCCATGAACTATATGACTTTTGGGGAAAAGTTATCTAATTTATTTATTTTTTCCTTCCATTTTATACTTAACTGTCCCTATGTACTGCAGTAAATTGGCACAATGTTTTAAGGCAGGACCCTCTGTTATTGTCTGTATTGTGCAGCCCACCTAGAGATACTGAAGTTAAAATGTCTGGGAAAATATGTAGGAAACAAGCAGTTTTAACAACTTTTTAATAGTTCTAAATCACAATTGCTTGCTTACATTTAATGTTAAATTCTACATATGCATTTCATGCTGCAGTCACATTTCCATTTCAATAGGGGGATCTAATAGGCACGTCAGCCTGTGCCACAAACCTCAGGCTGGTTTGTGGCACAGTGAAGGACATGGGGTGATGCTCCATCCTGTGGGCTACTGGCAGAAAGGCAGCAGCTGGAGAGAAACACACTCTACACCACAAACAATGTACTTATGCATATGGCTCATAAGCAGAGTGGTTTCTGGAATGATCCTAGTTTAATTGAAGAACTTGGAGGACAGTCTGCAAAATTTTAGTTGTGGTCACAGACTTATATGCCTTCTCATTTATGTAATAAAAACTACTATTTCATTTGCTTATGCCCAAAGAAGAAAACATATTTTATTTTCTTTCTGAAGAATTACTTTAGAAATTTTAGAAAAACAGAAACAATGAAACTGGAAAAATGGCATTTAAGGGTCCACTAGAAGAGAGCAGCATAGCATGGATCCCGTGTAAAAAATGGTGAATGAATCTTGCCTCTGGGAAAGGAAATACTACTACAAGCATACAGATTTAGACATTTTCAGTTACAGTTCAGTGGGGAAGCTGAAGGGAAAAGGAGGAAGCCTCACCAGCTATACTTTCCTATCTGTCTCTAACACACGCTTATGGAAAACTGCTGAAAGTTCCCAACTGTGGTAGAGGAAAAAGGAAGGAAAAAGCATCCAGCTACAACAAAAACTGACAAAGAAACCCAGTGTCTCCCCGTTCTGTGCATTTGAGCCACATGCTACCTAAAGACAATTTTTTTAACGGCCATTCCTTCTGAAATTATAATGCAGGCTTCAACCTGAGACACAGACCTCATCACCTGAATTCCAGAAAAACAGCAACTACAACCCCTGTGACAATAATGAAAAAGTCATATTGTTTTACATTTTTCCTTTATTGTCACACCTTTTATTTTTGGTTGTGACTTCTGCTCAGACTGAATCTGCTGTAAAAATGGCACTCACACACAGAAAATGCCATGTGACTCGGCAGTATTGCTGAATTAATCCACAGCATTGTTTGCTCTCTGCACGTTTTGTTTGTGTTGTTTCTGCTTCTCCCTGAGTTGTGAGGACTGTTTTTCAGTTAATGCATTTGGAGTACTAGCTTAAAAAACCCATGTTGTACAGTGTAAATATAATAATGATTCCCTTAGGAGGGACATGCCCTTTGATTTCTGATTTTACCCCACAGCTTCTGGATCCTCCAGAGTGTGGCAATGGCTTTGTGGAAGATGGAGAAGAGTGTGACTGTGGGACTATAGCAGTAAGTGCAATATACTTTAAATTAGAGACTAGATTCCTCAGGACTTGGTGCTGCCCATCACTTCTGTTAACATTAAGTGGAAGGGGCAATGTTAAGGTCCTGTGGCAAGGGATTCATAATTTCTTATCTTTTTCCATCATGTTTAACACAATGTGGGCTAGCTTTTTTATTTTATCACATAAATTCTGAGGAGTAATAGTAATAGCTACCTGTGCAGAATCAGGCCTTAGAAGATATTAAAGAAAGTAGTTTCATAGATGGGAACATGACTGATCAGTGCTAAAATGTCAGTATTTGATGATTGCTGCTGTGAAGTTAGAAAAATGATTTCCTGTATTGCATAGGAAACAGCAGCTTCATGCACCACAGTGCATGCCTTTTTCTGCCACCAGGTGCCTAAAAGCCTGGTTAAAAATCTGTTCAGTTAGCGTGCTAAGATGAGAAGTAGTGAGAGAGCTTGGGGCTTGTCTGCTTTTCCCATGTATTGTGTTATATGTGTGTATGTTCCTCAGGAGTGTGCCAGCGAAGGAGGAGAGTGCTGCAATACTTGCACCCTGACGGCAGGCTCCCAGTGCAGCAACGGGCTTTGCTGTCGGAAATGCCGGGTAAGGGCAGTGACCTTTACTGCAGTATCCTTGGGGGGAATGCATCCAGGTGGCACCACAGCACATGTTTTTTTCCTTGCAGACTCCTTTTCTGAAAACTTGCCTTTTAAAACTGGCTGAAAACTGTTTTGTCTGGGGCTATTCTCTGTTTTTTAGGCTTGGTTTCTTCGGGCATGGACTGTGATCAAATGCATAGCTGAATTAAAATCTTCCAGTTTCAGACAAGTTTGAATTGTTGAAGTTCCACGAGGTTTCATTAGATGTCCTTGTTTAAACACACATGTCCTTACCTATATGCTGTTCCCAACACCTTACATGTTGCTCTGAATTTGCCCCACGAGACTGAATGAGAAAATCATACCACAGATGCCAGAGAGAAGGATGTAGTAAAATAAAAAACAACCTACTGCTAGTAGAATTGTTCAGAAGTGTTCATCTAAAAGACACCTGACTACAGTTTTAGTTAGGTCTGCATGTGTCTCCTTCTGTTTGGACTGACTGAAATCCTGCTGAGTAAGGGAATCAAACCCTATGTAAACTATAAGGTATTCTTTCTGTTACATCAGTATATAGTAAAAGGAGATTTAGGGAGATCTTGACTATAAGGGAGCCCAGCTAAATATGACTTCAAATAGTTGTTTATACTCATTTAGCAGTAATGATAATAATTATTAATGTTATTAAAACTGTGGTGTACTGTGTGTGATATTTTTCTCTCTGTGGGCATTTTAGGGTTTCATTTGCTTAGGAGGAACATTAGTAATAACTGTGGACCATGATCTTGACTTTGTGCACATCCTAATGTTAAAAAAAAGAAAAAGCACAGAATATGCTGAAACAGATCACGTTTCACTAAGCACATTCCTTTTTTTAATGTCATATAAAAAAAAAATAGCAGATTGCCAGTGTGAGTGAAGTTTGTTCAAGTATCCAAGTCACCTAGGCACCATATTAAAGACTATCAGAAAAAAATTAAGCTTCTATCTACCTACATTATTTTTGCAAATGAGACAAGGATTTATCTACATACACAGTGGTGAGAGTGAGCCAGTGAAGAGAAGGGAAGAATTTTGCAAAACACGTGTCCCTAGGAGGTATTAAACAGGGCAACTCAAAAGACCATATATAACAGTTCCCAAACTTGGGGTTACCTTCTCCGATGAGGGATTGCAAGCAAAACACTGTGAGTGTACATCCCAGCATCCTGTAGCGTCTCTGACAACATCCCTGTCTGCCTGCATTTTTCCAGACACTGGCAGGAAAAAGATAAGCTGCAGGCTGAGAAAGTACCAGTCTAGCTTTTCCGCTGACATGTGCCTGTTCACTCCAGCTGTGGAGTTAGCAGTTTTCCCCACAAAAATTTATATGCATACAGATCCAGAAAAGAAGTCAGAGCTGCAAATGAACTGGGTGTCACAGAGTTAAGAAACCTTTCAGAAACAATAAGGGGTCTGTAGTATGTCCATGACCAGAAGCACTAACAATTACCACTAATGGGATGTCTTCCTGCTTTCACAGATCCTGAGACTTAATGCAGAAGTCTTGAACCAAAATGCCAATGTTAGGTCACTGGTACATTTGTCATGGTTAAATATCTGGTCACTTAGAAAATGGTGTCAAACCGTGCAAAATTGAGTACATTTATTAATAGTTTCTGTTCTACAACAGTAATGGGGCATTGTAATAACCATGGTGTTTATACCTTGAGCTTTGCAGTGTTCTTCATCCCCAGAGAGAACAGGATCACTCTCCCTGTTTTATAAAGAGGAGTAAAATAGTCAGAAAAAGGTGCAGTAACCCTGGTCAAGAAAATGCTGCAAGCCACCGCAGCATTAGTTTGATAAATCCCAGGAGTCCTGTGTCCTGGGAGAACACTTATCCTGCTCGATGCACTTGGATGGGGGTGCCTCAGAGAGTGGTAGCACTTGCACCAGTAAATGGCTGGTGGCTTGAGACGTGCATATCTGCACCAGGGAAAGGAAAGTCTTCCCACTGCAGTCAGCACATGAATGTTTCCCATTTTTTATTTTGATTAAAACTCTAAGGAAGCATTGCATTTAAGGCAAGATGTAGAGAAACCAAGACGCTAATTTTCTGGGGTTTTTTTCCAGTTTGAACCTAAAGGAGTTTTGTGCCGAGAAGCAGTGAATGATTGTGATATTGCAGAGAACTGCACAGGAAATTCCAGTCAGGTGAGTTTTATATCTTCTATCCAAAGGATGAAAAAAACCCACCTGTAGGTGGGTCATCACTGTAAATCTTACAGGTTTTGTATAGTGAAATTACATTAAACCTGCAGATACTGAAAAAAACAGCATGATACTGAAATTATTTTCCATATGACATTTGTTGTATGCTTTGCTTCCATGCTTGTCTGATCTATGATCAATTAGTTGTTTTCTCTTTCTATAGTGTTCTCCCAATATTCATAAGATGGATGGATATTCATGTGATAACAAGCAGGTAATTAGCACTTCAATTTGTTTTACATTCTTTCTGCCTTCATAGTTTGTGTTTTATAGATGTTGGTCTAAGATCTTTGGAAGTGACCTGGGACAGTTCTGCTGACATTCCTGCATTTTGGATGCAATTTATGTTTTGGAGCTAAACATTTAAATGAGCAGAAAGTAGAATCACATATTAGTTGCCTCAGTAGAAAGCATGTGACAAATCTGTATATTAAACAAATACATATTTTGGAAAATTAAGTTATTTGAAACTTTTTCTGTATCTTTTGTTTCTTTTTAGGGTATTTGTTTTGGAGGAAGATGTAAAACCAGGGACCGGCAGTGTAAATATATCTGGGGTGAAAGTGAGTGAATGTTATTGTTTCTAAGTTGTTGGTTGTTCATATGGCTTGAAAGATTGTTTTAGCTGAGAAAAATTATGGAAGTGACATATTCAGAACCATTAAAACCAGCTAGAACTGTATGTCCCTCCCTCTCTTCCTCCCTCATTTTGTCTTTCCATCTTCTTTTCCATCTCTTTCTCTAGAGTTGGTTAACTTACTGGTGATTATTCTGAAGTTGTAGGTTTAACTTCTCATTAATAATCACTCAGGGAGCCCATACTCCTATTTATTGTTTTATTTCAGTGTCTTCTGGACATTTTGGATCAATAAACCCTGGTCAATCTGAACTAAAATCTCAAAACAGTCCTTTGGTGCCAACATAAAACTTTATTGAGAACACTGTGCAATGTTTCACAGGCTACCTGCAGACCATTGGTACCGCAGTTCATAGATTGGGAAGCTCTGCTTGCTCTGACTGTGCATTGCCATTCCCCAGGAGCTGGCTTTTAGTCTTCGTCATTTTAGAAGAGATTTGTTTTTGTTTTTAGAAGTGACAGCTGCTGACAGGTACTGCTATGAGAAGCTGAATATTGAAGGGACTGAGAAAGGAAACTGTGGAAGAGACAAGGACTCTTGGATACAGTGCAATAAACAGTAAGTTGATCCAGTTAGAAAACAACTTGTATGAGATTTTTATCCCTGCACTGTTTTTTTTAGCTGTCATGAAGAGGCTCAAAAAGTCTCTGTACAGAACAGACTTCTGGTCTTCTTCTGCAGACCTTAGTGCAGGAAATTCTGGAGGGAGAGGAGTGTCAAGAGATGATCTCTGACAAGAGAGCACCATCTGAGCTTTGGGAGCACTTGAACTAAAAGTGGTCGTAGTACGCTTGGTGAGGCTTAGCAGTGCAGAGGAGAGCAGCCTGTGGTTTCATGTCTCAGTGTGGTGTTCACCTTTTGTGCTGTGCCATTGCATTGCTAAGTTGTGTTCAGTTTTCATCATATTGTAACCCCCCACATCTTTTCCTGAAAGTTGCTGCCTAAACCATTGTTTCACACTTTGTATTTATGCAGCTGATTATTTGTGCCTATTTCTGAACCTTTCGCCAGTCCTCATCAAACTGCACCCTGTTTTTTCAGATGAGTTCTCCATTCTGTCATTGCCATTTGAATTCTAGTCCTGCCTACAGGTGAACTAATGTCCTTTCCCACCTTTCTGTGCAGATTTGGTAAACTTACTTTTGTTCCATTACAAACATGCGTAGAACATATTCAGTAATATGGGAGAGGCCAGACAGTATACAAGTCTCTGGTCACAACTTGTAAAGTCCCCTCAACAGTTGAATTAAACCTGGTGTCTCTAATTCCCTTACATATGTGTCATATGAGAGTTTGTTTAAAGCCAGTATCCACTGCTTCTCCTCTATTGGCTAGTTGCTGTATCTTAATAGGATATTAAATCAGTTTGATGTAGTTTGTTCTTGACAGATCCCTGCTTGCCATTATCAGAGCATTTTTGATAATACATCTCAAAAAAGACTCTTCCCAGTCTAAGCTCTGAGGAGAATAATTTTCCTGGGAAACAGGACATTATTTGTGGGAATTACTGTCAGTGGGATAAAAGCAAGGAATAACAAAGATGTTACAAAGCAAGTGAAGAAAACCACATTTTTTTGACCATCCATTTTCACTGAATTTTCTTTTGAGTGAGTATCCATTTATTCTCTCAATGCAGGGATGTACTTTGTGGATACCTTCTGTGTTCCAATATATCCAGTGTGCCTAGACTTGGAGAACTCGATGGTGAAATCACATCATCAATCTTGCAGTTTGGAAAAGTCTACAATTGCAGGTAATTGGAAATCCTGGAAACAAAACAGAGACAATCAATATTGATCTTGCATGGAAAAGCAGCTTTCTCATTCCTAAGTGGAGAACAACTGTTTCCATTAAATTTTTTTTCCTATTGTCGTGGTTTAGGCCTGGTTGGCAGCCAACCACAGTGCAGCAGCTCTCTCTCCCTTCCCCTCCAGCAATGAGAAAGGACAGAGAGCCAGGCTTGGAGTCCGAGATAGGACTGGGATGGGGAAAAATTCCCCTTTATGATCACGAGCAAAAGGCAGACTCGTTAGGGGAAGAAAAAAAACCATACATTTATTACAGACACTAACAACACATAACAGAGTAGGACAGTGAGAAGCATTTCCACATCTTGAGAACACCTTCCCCCCACCCCTCCCTTCTTCCCGGGCTCAGCTCTGCTCCCGATATCTCTACCTCCTCCCCCAGTGGCGCAGGGGCAGGGAATGGGGGGTGCAGTCAGTGCTGCCACTTCCTTCATTTTTGGTGAGGGGAGTGTCCGGAACTTGTTCCTCCTGCTTCATCGTGGTCCCCCTCTCACAGGAGACAGACCTCCACAAATTTTCTCCAATATGAGTTCCTCCCATGGGCCGCAGCGTTTCCCACACTGCTCTGTCATGGGTCACTAACTTTCTCATAATCATTATTCTAGCTCAACCTATGTTAAGCTTCACGAACTTGACTGCTTGTGGGGAGTGCAGCTGTTTTGCAGTACCTTCTGTGTAGCAGTTAATTTTGCCTGTAGAGACGTAATGCTCTTCTCTGGCCTCTTGAACTTACATTCTTTAATATTTGTGAAGTACTTAATGTATTCAAAATACTTAGACATATGCCTGCACTGCCAAAGCTAACTGGCAGCTTAATATGTTGCCATAGATTTGTGGAATCCCAATTATAGACCTGGTGTGTTCTCATAGCTTCGCACAACTGTAAGATGAAACAAAGTCCTACACAAATAAACTCATTGTTTTATCCAACACTAGCTTCTACACGGGAAAAATTGTCTTTGTTTTCACCATTATATTTGCTTTGATGTAGATATACTGTGTTTTAGTTTGTTTCACATTGGGGCCAGTGAGATAAATAAGCCAATAATGACTCCTACCTGGTCCTGGGCATCATATAATGCAGACAGAAATGGAGGCAGCAGCCCAGAGCCCAGTTTCTCAAGCAGACCCATCTAATCACAGCACAAATCTCTGGAGTCCTCTTGGTTGTCTTGCAGTGGTGGCCATGTGAAGCTCGATGAGGAGACAGACCTGGGCTATGTGGAGAATGGGACGCCCTGCGGGCCAAACATGGTGTGCCTTGAGCATCGCTGCCTCCCCACCGAGGCCTTCAACTTCAGTACCTGCCCAGGCACCACAGACAGCCAAATTTGTTCAGGACATGGTGTACGTTCTTGTACTCTTCAATCCTCTTTTACTGTTTTTCCTGAGTATCCGGTGTTGTGTAGTGTATTAGTTAGACCTTTCATGAAGCCAGCAGCATGACTCTAGAAGTCTTTATACTGGAGAAGCTTTTGAAAAGGAAAGGGGGAGGAGGCACATAAAAAACCATAAGGCGTACCGGTCAAGGCATCTTAAACAATGAGTCACTGTAAGTACGCATTAGTTTTGCAAAAATTTTATCAGTCAGTTTTTCTGCTATCACTTTTGCTAACTTGACTGGTATTTCCTCAGACAACATACTGGAGAATACAAAGCTCTAAGAACTGAGCAACTTGGGTCTCTGTTCTTCTAGATGCTTTTTTAATTTCCCTCTATATTGTGTCAACAGCCAAAAAGGTTCATAGGGTTTTTGGATTTTGTTGGCTGAGAGTTACTTTACTCTAGAGAAGAGGGCAGGGAGGTGTCTCTTGGCTAGTGGCAGCTTCTCCACTCAGTGCACAGCCCGTGGCTTTTCTGTGGTCCTGGCAAGTCCCTTTGTCCATCACACAGTTTGAAACAGTATCCAGGTTCCTAGGGCTGAGCCGAGATCAAAGGAGTTGTTCTCCCGTAATGTCTTTTGTCTTTTACTCTGCATTACAACTCCCCTTTTTCTGAAATTAACCCCTTTGTCATATTTTGAAAAAATAAAATCATTGAGGTTCAGTCTCCCAAAGCAATTATATGTGGCTTTATTAAATATATTACATTTAAAAGATATTAATATACTTAATATAAAAGTATAATAATACATTTAATACGCATATCTAATATATAAATTAAAAATTGCTGTATATTAAACATGTAGAATTTTGCAGGCAGTCAAAAATCAGTGCTATATGACTGTACCTATACTGTAGGTATTAATTATGGGAATAGATTAATTTTATTATTTTATTCTGAGCTACACTTTTCGCTACAGGTTTGTAGCAATGAAATAAAGTGTGTCTGTGACCGATTCTGGGGAGGAGATGACTGCAGTTCTCGTATCAAAGATGATATATTTTTTGATAAAGATGCCATCAACAAAGGTATGTTGTTATAGTTTTTACTAATAAATGGCAAAGCTTAGATTTGAGGAATGTTCATTAAGCAAAACTAGATCTCTTATTCTTTCAGTTAGCATACAACACAATGCACCGTTAAGAGCCTCATTCCCTTCCTCTCCTCCCACAGCAGAAGCACTCGGTGTCTGAATGAGGTCACAGCCCTGGGGCTGGATGTGAGCGATGCCACTCACAAGCACTCGGTACACCTCTTGGGACTGGTTCCACTGTGTCCGATTGCACCTTGTTTGTCCCAATCATATGAGTGGCCTTAATAGGTATATTGATAGATTAGGGCAAGCAAAAAGTTACTGGGACTTTTCATACCTAGATGGGAAGTTGGTGTTACTTACATAACTGGTTTTTATTTGTAGAGTCAATTTTTTATTACATGGCCAGTATGCAGAGTGTCGGTGCAGAAATTTTAGGCTTTTACATTTGTTAAGTGAAAGTTTTTATTAATTTTTAAGCCTGCACACGAAAGAAAGACATATCATGGAAAAATGAGGGTGTAAATGTTCTTCATTATAAATCCTTCTGGGGGGACAGTTTTACTCTCTTCCAGAATGTCTTTTTTGGTTAGTTTATCCAGCTATGGAAGAGATTTGAGCAAAAACAAACAAAAAAGTCACTTTTATTTCAATATAAGCATGTATTTTCCAGGCAGGTTATAAGGTTATAACAACAGTTTAATATTGATAACATTATATTGTCATAGCTGGCACAACTTTCCCATTTAGCAAGTGTTCAGTTAACGGAAATGGACAAAGTGGTCAAAGCTTGATTTACAAACTATTTTTTTATGTCCATGCTATACTTTAATATTATACCACTGGTTACAATTAATCAGCCTAGTGCAAGTTGTCCAAGCAGGTTTTTGAAAGACAGTGCTTTTACTGTTTTTATATATTTTTCTCCTAAAACCCTGTCTATTTTTCCTGTTTCTTGTGTTTCCAGGTGTTGTTAGCACAAATATAATAATAGGAGCTATTGCTGGCACCATTTTAGTGTTGGCTCTCGTTTTAGGAATAACTGGTTGGGGTTACAAGTAAGTAAATTGTGTTCGTAATACAGTTAAAAATATGATTTATTTCATCTGATAGCTGATTATGTTATGAAAAGAATAATTGGAGCATAATATAGAAAATCCAAATTGGATTCTATTTATACTTTGACATTTTTATAGTATTAGCATTTTTTAAGCCGTTCCTACATGTGTATGTGGTTTTGGAGAGCTTGATCCAGGTTTGAAAATATTTCTTACTTAGCTATTTCTTTTCTTTTTTTTTTTTTTGTAGACGACGAGATTATGATTTTACTGTGTCTGACAAAGAAAGTACAAGAATACAATCTGATTCAATTATAAATCTCTCCTAATGATGAAATAAATTTAGCAAGATTATCGTTCAGCCAGTCAGTAAAGCATTTAACCATAGGCTTCCTTAAACAGATATTAATATTCAGTCAGCTTAACCTGAAATTGATTCAGGCATGTTTTCTGGTAAAAGAGAGATCCGTAATTTGCAAATAAGGTACGAGTTCTCTCCTGGTGTAGAGCTGTCAGTGTTCTGCTCACTGAGAGACAAAATAGATTATTTTAGCCAGACTGATCTTTTACAGTATTTCTCCTTTTGTGAATTTCTTCTACAATTAGAAGGGTTTCGGGTTTTTGCATGTATTAAAAAAAGATTTGAGGTACTTAGTCACCTGTGTTTGGGTGCGACTGGGTCTTGAAGTCCTTTCTCCACAGGTGCTTGGCATGCTTGGAGGGCAGGGCAGGTTCAGCTGCAGGCAGTGCCAGTGGTTTGGCATAAACTGGCACATCCCCGGCTGGTCTGTGAGACTGAGGTAGGCTGAGGGCAGCTCAGATATAGGTAAGGAAAGAAGCGCTTGGAAAAAAGCATGAAGATTATAGAGTAAAAGGGTAGGTTATGCTGCCTGGGTATATCATCCTCAGCTTGTGGCAATATCTGAAAATCTGGACTTACTGTTTTGAGTACAACCCCAAAAGTTAAGGGCCTATTTTGAGATCACATCTAGCCAATGGGGTTAGTTTTTGGAGGTGGAGGGCAAGAGTGCTTCTTTCACTAGCAGCTTCGCAGTGAATAGACTTAAACGCTTCATGAACTGCATGTCCATGTCAGTACTGACTTTAGCCATCGACATTAATATATTTTCCTTGTCTGTTCTGATTTAGTATGTTTATGAGTATGTTTATTTCAAAAGTGTTTCCTGTAGAAATATTTTGAGCAAAAATTTCATTCTGCATACATTCCTCTTACTGACCATGTATACCTGCATCCTGATAACTCATTCTTCTTTCTTTCTCTTCTCTTTGTATGGAAAGAAACTACAGAAGACAGAGGTATGTGATAAAATAATGGAATGCATATTATCAAGTTCTGAAAATAACTTTCTTTCTCTCTTGCTCATTTACATGCTATAAAGAAAATATAGTGGTCACTATATTTTCTATAAAGAAATATAGTGATCTGAACTATATTTTCTATAAGGAAAATATAGTCATGAATTATCATAGTTTAAAGAATATTTGTTTGAATATATGAAATTGGTATTTATTCTGTAAAGGCATTGCTTAAAATCCTGATTTCACTGGACTCAGTAGCAAATACAATATTTACTTCTGAGATAGACTATTTTATTTAGGAAAACAGGAGAATATTTCCAATAAGAGAGACTGACAATCTGCTATTAGAGATGAAAGTGTTCTTGGGAGGCTGAGAATTTAATAATTAATATTAACATGATGTTCAGGAACCTTTTGAGACAAATTCATTCCTGGAGCTTTTTGCAGTTAAAAATAATGCATTTAAATTGCTGTGTGAAAGAAGAGCCCATTCCTTCCCATCACCCTGCACAACTGATTTGTAGCTAAAGCACAGTACTGTCTTCAGCACAGGGCTGAGTTTTCACCCTTTCAATCTTGTAGCCCAAAACCAAACAGTTCCTCGTTACTCTGGTTTGGCTCCCAGAAGACCACCTTCCTTTCCTCAATCATCTGCCTGGCAGACTGGTCTTCCAGAAAGGAGTTGGCTCCTTCCTCTCCTCACAGATAAGAGGATTTCTCAAATTCTCCTGTTTTCTGCCTGTATCACCACCTCCTGATCCAAGCTGCTGCTTTGTTTGTTGCTGCTACCTGTTGTGCTTGTTACCCACTTGTAGCGCTTTCTCGGCCAGGCTCAAAATATTTGTAAAAAGTAGAAAAGCTCTGCCAAGTGCTGTTTGTGTACTAGAAGGTCAGATAGGTGGCAGGATCGGTAACAGGAGAAAGGCAAAGCTACTGAAGTCAAGCCTTATGGAGAGGTTGGTGGGTAATAAATGTCACCTGGCACAAGGAAGGCAGAATTTCAAGGTTTGGTGCTGCTCAGTGGCATGCAGTGTAGCTACAAGCGCAGACTAACAGGGTCATCAAGTCACTCTGCTGTGGATATTTCAGGGTTGGCTGAGGATAGAGCAGCCAGAACCTCGGAATACAGAAGGAGATTGCCCCATAGATGTTCACGTTGGAATATTAGCAAATCTAACTTTTTCACATTTCCTCATCTCCAGAAATTAGTATATGGACAGAGAGCTGTGAGTATGCAGTCAGTTTGCAGCTATGTCTGTGGGCATGGGCAGAGTGGAAACCAGCATAAGCTGGGGCTTTTGAAGCTGATGGAAATATTTAGCAACTACATCTCCTTCATGCAGAAAATGAAGTTCTGTAGGCTGACTTCTAAATAGAACAATTTTGGATATGTACAAGGAGTGCTCCATAAATGGAAAAAAACAGACATCCACCAGAGTGTTCAGAGTGAGGTTTTTTAATTGTTTACAATCAGTCCTTAAATAAATATGAAAACAAGCCATTGGGGTATTTTTGAGCAGTACATAAGGAATTATACTTGGTAGTATTAAGCAACTGAAATAAGTAAACCGAAAATAATAAAAAGAGCAAATTAGCAAGAGTTCTTCCAGCTGGGATAATATGTCTTAAAGGGCACAGCTGTGTGGGAGAAGTAATTTCTGATGGGGTAGTGAGAGGACAGTTTGCTGGAGGAACCCTGGGGAGCAGAGCTGCCCACACTGAGTCAACTCTGAACACATCGATGTACACGCTGATGAATGGGACAAGAACCGAGCCTCAAGAGGTGTTAGAAGAAATAGTGTGGATGATGATTTATGTGCCATATGATTATAAATTTTAAATACTTCAGAAGCATTAGAAATTCAGATAGGGAATGAAGAGAGCCCAGATCAAGTCTGTAGTTGGACACAATGTGATTGTGAATCAACCTTCTGATAAATGCCTATCTTACAAGGGGCAGACTGAGGCAAAAAGGCCTTGGAAAGTGCAAAGCTGAATAGATAACTAAGCTGTTGGTGTTATGACATAATCAACTTTCAAAGTAGATACTTGTGCTAGGGAGGATTTTTGAGCTTGGTGGAACTGTAACTGGAATATTTGCATGACAGTTTTTCTGCTGGCAGTGAATTTACCATCTGTAAAAAAGTTACATAACTTGATTAGGACTTTGTAATGCATAGATAGTTTTATGCACCAAAACTGAGATTCTAGTACTGGAAAAGGATAAACTATTGTCAGATGTGTGTGGCACTGGTTTTATGTGTCTTGGCAGACTGAGTCTATTGTGGTAATTGGGAGTAGCTGAGAACCTCTGACACTGGTGTTAGGTCCTCTGCACAAGGAAGAGTTAATAACCTGGAGGATTTCCTCCTCCTGAGGTTTATACAACTCAATAGGTTGGTATTCTTGAATTAAATAATGTTCATAAAAATTAAGTGGAAAGCATCTATCTCAGAAGGGAAAAAGCATTCAGTTTCCTGAACTCCTTTTTGATCCAGGCGTGCATTTCATCTCAGGCTGCAGTATTTGTACTGTACCCGGGCATGCTTTTCACAACCAGATTGATGAGTCATTTGAAATGTCTGAACTTGGTTATCCAATGTCTCAAGAGCCACAAACTATTCACTTTGAAAACTACAATCAGAGTTTATCAGTGAAATGTTCCTTGTTTTCCCCTACCAAAACCACATAATCCACTTTTCTGCACATATCAGAAGTATGCAGGAGTTTTCTCTCAGATGGTTAAATATTTATTAATAGGTTTATTGTGTGCGATTAACATTTTCCTCAAGGATCACTAGCTTTGCCTCTTTCTTTTATACTAATATTTGTGCATGTTTGTGTATGTGCTGGTGCCTGTCGTGTTTTCTGACTCTATGATGTTTATTATACTTTAGACAAATACCCCAGGGAGATTATGTAAAAAAACCTGGAGAGGCCGACTCTTTTTATAGCGACATGCCTCCTGGAGTCAGCACAAACTCTGCATCTAGTTCTAAGAAGAGGTCTGCTTTTCTGTCGCATTTTCAGATTTCTACCTGTTCCATCACCCATTATTCCATTAGTCAGAACATTTCATTGTTTTGCAGCAGGTTTGATTCTTTCTTCTTTCTTTGTGCAATGTTTGAAATAGCATCCTTTGTGCTTTGATTACTGATTTTTCTCACATGCCCTGAGCTGCTAATTATTACAAATGGGCCAGGATACACAAATTTTCCATTGTAAACCAATTTTAGATTAATCAAATTTTCATCATCTCCCTACTTGAGAATTGTTTTCAAGTAGACTGTAATAATAATTACTGGCTCAAAAAAAAACCCCAAACCCACAATTTTTTACATCATGGTCATGTAATCAAAGAAAAGGAACACTGTCTTGCTTCAATAATAGTTATAAACATAAATTGTTCAATATAAATGTTATTTTTATATCTTTATTTGTCAGTGTCATTAATTCACTGAGTTGGCCTAGACTTTTGGATAATATTCTTGCTGTCTCACATTAAAGATGATGGTACTTGCATTTTATTCCACTTACTAGACTAGTATACTAAATGGTCACCAGGTGTTATCTTAGAAGATAATTGTACAAAGACGTTCTGTAGTGTTATGCTGCTGTTACGAGTAACCAAGGACGTCATTAGATTTTGCCCTTGATCAGATTTCACTAATTCTGTTATTGTTCTAGGTACTTAAAAAAACAAAAAACCTTTTAAAATGGAAAGTTGATCGAAAAGCATTGAGAGTCGTTTGTAATTGATAAGGTTGTTGGGTCATGATGCTCACCATCCCTCTGCAGTTAGAGATCCTTTAATGATGAAAGTCTCCAGCTAGCACTTTAAAAGAATTTACGAGAAGCACTGTGTGCTAGGAGGGATAGACAATCCTGAACTGCTTCATAAGAAAACTGCAGTTCTCAATTCTTGTCTCACTGAGCAGTCTATAACTGTGCAGTTGATGAAGCCATTTTCTTTGTTGTTATTTGAAAGAAAGTAAAGAGAAATGTATGAAAAGGATACATTTGCAGTGACATTTGCTATTTAGGTATAGCAGCTTGATTCTGTATGCAACTTCATTTAGTCTGTTCTAAATATTTTGTTAGGAAGACTGTAGTTTTGATTAATTAATACTTTCTAATTTTAAAATTCAGCTTTATAGATGAGTGAGTGGATTTTTTTTTTTTCAGGAAGCAAGTGTTAATCTTAAATGATGCACTGTTTGTGTTGGAGAATCTTTTCTCAGTTGGATAAAATTTTGAAAAATATCTTGGGAAAGCAAGTTTTCATAGCTTTGTGTAAGCAGGTTCAAATGTCAGTTAAGAAGAAAAGTGTTTTAAATTAATGCAATTTAATGCATTTCTTCTTTCATTCAGTATCTGTGTTTCTTTTCATACTTCATTTCTTTCATGTGCCTTTGTTTATTATTTGTTCCAAAAAGTTAATGGTTTCTAAGGTCTGTCTGTACTAGAGAGTTTTGTTGTTCCCCACCACCAGTTCAGGTATGTTGTGCCACTGTCAAGTCTGAAAAAGTAAGTCTGACAAATATTCCATTAACATTGTGGTGGAGCTGACACAGTCTTTCCATCTGAATACTCAGAGTACTATTTCTTACTTTCCAAGCTGGTTTGATTTGCTCTGTGTGCAGATATTGATGGCATCTCTTGGCAGATGTTAGAGTGACTGGGCCATTAGCTGCCTGGGCTTCTCCATGCTGGAAAGCACTATGAAATGTTAGTTGGTATTCATAGGATGTTCAAGGATTAAGACATAGTTTTGTGATAACTCTTGCTATTACAAAATAGCAAACACCAAAACCAATATATAGCAAGACATTCTTGAACTGAAAATAGACCGATAGGAGGAGAAAATGATTAAAAAATCTGACAGTGGATCTGTTGGTTCTCAGACCTTTCATGCTGTAATTAAGTTTGAATTAATGAAACCCTGGGGTTACTTCAGTGTGGCTGTGATTAGCCTGGTCTTCTGGAAACTGAAGAGCATCTCTCACGCCTGCCCTCCAAGGAAGGCAGAGACTGAATAATGCAAGACTATCCAGACTTAGAAACTACAGAAATAGTTCATTTAAGCAAAACTTCTTTGTAATAAATAAGCTATCTATTCTGACCAGTTTTCAACTTCCTCTTGTTTTCTTCTCTTTTGGAAATAATTGTAGATCTCATGGAAAACAGCTGAACAGCAGGTCTAGTTCAACAGGAGGGAGCCTGTTGTGAAACCCCATGTGTTGGACATCACCACACACATCTCACATTCCCTCACAGAGGGAATGCAAGAGAAAGAAAAACCTTACTTTGCACCAAGCACCTAGATATAAAGTCTGGTTTTGGATTTGAATTTAGCATTAGAGGTATATACTGCAAGGACTGGCTGACAAAATATAATAAAAATTCAAAATTAGAAGAAATGAGTCAGTTACCCCTCCACTGGAGCTACCCGCTGTGGGTGGGAGGTTGCTCATCACGGATGCCTGGGCCCCTGAGACTGGGAGTGAGGGAAGCAGTCCAGGCTTTCCTGCAGCAGCACAAAGAGGGAGTGGACAGCCTGCAGGTGGGATGTGCTTGACTGTGAGATAAAAAAAACCTTGAGATGAGCACAGTTGGAAGAGCATCTTCCAGCTAAGAACTGGGGCAGAGCTGCAAATCCAAAGGAAATCTGATATGCGCTGGTGTTTGTGCTTTCCACAGCAGACATGTGAGAAAGGAGTGCTGAAACCTGGCTCTTGAACGTGGGCACACTGAACTGCTGCAGGGGCAGCTGTGAAGCATAACTGCAGGGCTTAACCAGAAATCCTGAGTGCTCTGCTAGTGCAGACAGACCTTAGGCTGTGTTATTTCACCAGCCTCGGGAGTGTGACTCAATAAACCACTGAGCTAACATTGATGTGAGACAATACCCTTAACAATAACCGCATCTGAGCCCTCCTATTCCAGGTCAAATGGATTGTCTCATTCCTGGAGTGAAAGGATCCCAGACACAAAACATATTTCAGACATTTGTGAAAATGGGAGGCCTAGGAGTAATTCTTGGCAAGGTAAGTGTGAACCTCTGTGCTGGACACAGTGGAAACCAGCCTCTGGGACATTGCTGCTCTGCTGAAAGTTTAGCTGATCTTAGGACAACAGCAGGACGCCTTAAGATTGTGCTAATTGTCATTAACCTGGAACTGGGATTTAGCAGCACCATGCACAAGTACCATTTTTGCACAATGCTTTGTCACACAGAAATGACATTTAATTTCTCCCATTCCTCCAGTGTGAGCTAACATGAAAAAGAGGAAGAAAACTACTCACTCTTGCCAGCTTCTGTGATTTTATCAGGCAGTATTTAGTGTTTTTCTTAAAGTGTAGTGTTTTTCTCAAATGAAAGCTGAAATTATGGAGTTTTTTGCTCTGCAGAGTTGCAGCAGAAAGTAGAAAAAAATTACCTAAGGGTCAAGTTTAGCTGTTCTGAGGTAAATCAAGAGGGGCTGAGCTTTGACTTTGAAATTGTTAAAGCTAATGAGGTAACGAGTCTTTTGCTGGGGATGCAAAAAGAATACACAGTTTGGCATGGGACACAAGTGAGTTTCAAGTTGTTTTACCATCTGTCTCTATCCTTTGATTTCTTTCAGGTAATATAGGAGGAAACAGAAAGAAAGTCAGAGGCAAAAGATTTAGGCCACGGTCTAATTCAACTGAGTAAGTCTGAACTCATAAAAGCAAAGCTAAAAAGTACAGTTTTCATATTTGTGTTTTGTAGATGGGGATTAAGAGTACTTGAAAAGTAGACAGCTGCATTTTTGCTCTGTGGCCCATTCTGATTGCTGACTGATAACCTGGTAAATGGTTTGGCTAATGTATTTCAACTTCTTTTTATGTATTCTTTAAAAATTAACTATCAGTTTTCTTTTTTATGTAGGCTTCCTCACAGTCGTTCCCATAGCAATTCCCAAAGATGGTGGCAGCCTGCACCATCACTGCAGGCTTTTGTCTACAGTAAACTGCCATTGCTGAGTGTATCCTGGTTCAATATTGAATTTTTGATAACCTGTTTCCTACCCTTGTCTTCACCTTGGGTTGGGCCATTGCAGAGTTAGAGATTTGTATCTCTTTGTACCTGCCTGGAGGTTTTAGGAGAGGTATCTCTCTGCTTTGAGAGTACCCTGAAGTTTATCATTGTAAGCCTGAAACAGCCAGTCTTGAGTAAGCCCTGCAGTAAATGGATAATGAGAGTCCTTATCAAGTGACTGATCCCCAGACCTTCCCAGTACAGCTTAGAGTTGCTTTCTTATTGATTTGTTGGTTACATGAAAAATCCATGTGCACAGCGCTCTCTGTAGGAAAAGAGCCTTTCTTATGTACTTAAGCCTTCTGGTTCAGGCTTCTTTGTGGATGAATGGTGAATGGCTGGAAACATAATTTCTGGGCTTGTCAAGAACTGGTCTGTTCCTACAGCACTTAGGCCACATGGGAGCGGCCCCTTCTTTGACCATGGTGGCAATGACAGTGCCCTTTCCTCCTATCATTAGTATTAAATTTGCACCTCTATGGGTAAATGGGCTTGGTACCAACCTTGCTGGAAACTAATAATGCTAACTCCTCTCTGGGCCCTGCTTTCTTCAGTTTGGGGATTTTGAGTTTGTTCTGAAACTTTTCTTCCACCTGCACTGTCTTGAGGTGAGTAGGCTCAGAAAGGTTCGTAGAGAATATCTTCTCTTACAAGTTACAGAACTAATAGTTTGATGCACACTGCAATTATAACATTGCATGGTCAAAATGGCAACATGGAACCAGAAATTTTAGCCCTAGATACCTTGGAGGAGTTTATCTGTCAAGTGCCCCTGTGCTCTTGGTCTTTGTGCTGATAAACTCTTACCGAAAAGTTATTTTGCTCATTTGCTTTTCTCCTTGCATGAGAGAGTTTGATAAAAGCAAAATTAGTCTGACCAAACTGCCAAGAATGTAAATGAGATTGCACATTCTTTAGAAACTTTCCTTCATTTTCCAGTTGTACTTCTTAAACAAAATTTGTTTTAAAAAAAGAGTTTAAATTAATAATACCTTTGCTCTGTCATTCAGCAGAGGTGTACGCTGGAGCTGAATTGGTCCATAAAGAATGAAACCAGATCAGCTCTTTTTAGCCTAGTGTGAACATAACTGCGTGGGAAGAGTACTGTTTTCAATAAAAGCAAAAAAACCCAATGGGCATATTTTTTCCCCTGTGCTGCTCAGCAGGCATATTATAGATTTGCTCTGAGAACTTTGGACCACTAAATAAGTGGGTAGACAGAGAGAGTGTGAGTTGGAAATCTTTTTCCCTGTAAATTTTTTTCTCTTTTAAAGTTGCCTCTGAATTTCCACCTAATTCTCTGCTTTCATTCTTGCTGCTTGTTGTGGTCTCTCAACCCAGCAGCAGCCCTGGTGCTAGAGGGAGAAGGCTTGTATTTCCTAAGGGCTGTGCAGCAGCCTGTTAGGGATGAAGCACAGCACCTGTATTCCTGGGAGAGACCTGCCACGCAGGAAAATGCTCTTTCTCCTGATGGGGGCTATCCTGGACTGCACAGGGCCACATGGCTTGTCTGAGTCTCCTTGGCAAGCCTGTCATCTCTTGGAGACAGAGCTCCCACTGAATGATCCATGTGCTGTGTCAATTTGATGGGGAATGGAGAGAATTGCTGAGGGTGCACAGTGGCTCTGGTTAGAGAACTTCCTTTGGGAGCAGAGGAAATTGACTGAGAATGAACTGACTGTGGCTGGCATTTACTCATTTAGGAAAACAAAAAGCAATGCCAGCTGCTTTGAGGATGCCTCAGAATACATGGAGGCCTTTCCCAGACAAATGTACCTTACCTTCTCAGGGAAATACAGAAGAATATTGAAAACTGTTCTGAAACAGTGGACGGCATTTGAAAAATCTATCTGTCTGGCTCCTGGGAGTCCAATGAAACATACTTGTTGAGATGGAAGAAAAGGGGTAACGCTGTTGGTATCGTGTTAATAGTAGAGACAGTGTAGTTAACCATTAGAAAATTGGGTTAATTTGTACCATATCTTTTGCAGATACCATTTTTTTTTAAGCAGGTGCACACTAGCAGGTGCCTACAAAAGTATTTGACATATGCATGAGTCTTCAATAACTGCACATATTATGCACAAGGGTTTTTTTGTATACAGTCAAGCACTAAATAGAGACTCATGTCACTAACCATTTAAGCAGAATTTCTTAAGAAGTAAGCAAGGTTTGAGCTCTGCAGCCCTCACTAGCAGCACTGACAGGAGTGTTGCAAGTGCATTGGGCAGTTCCTGAAAAAGGTACTGCTCACACCTTTGTGCAGCCCCTTGTACCTAACAGATACATGAACAAAGCTTCTGCTAATGGTACAGTTCTGCAGACTGCTAAAGCTCTTTTGGGATTTTTCATTTGTTTCTAGATATTTTAAAACAAAATTTGTGTTCTTTACTAAAGGCAGATGGTTCAGTTCACACAGAAGAAATGCTAACAGGCCAAATATTTCTGCAGCTTTTTCAGAAACAAGGTTGATGAAATGGCCTGATAAAACAAGTTTTCTATTAAAATCAGTTAGACATATCCAGGAATGATAATGAGAGTTTTCTGAATAAGCTGACAGTTTAATTGGGGGCTTGTGTTAAAACAGGTCCCAGGGAACATGCATTTTGCCAAATAGCGATTCTGACCTTTGTTAATTTGCACTGCTTTTCCAATAAGTGTTTGTCTTCCTCGTTGTTATAACTGATACGAACATCTTTGGCTTAGACTTTCTATTATATATTGTCTTTTTGCAGCAGGGTAACCCATGCATCTGAGCCTGGGCTTTCTCTCGCCCACCAAATTCCGGCCCAAGGCATAAGCCCAGGGGGTTCTGACCACCCCCAAACAGGGAGTCGGGATCACAGGTCAGTCTCACCTGCCCCTGCATTCTGGGCTGCCATTTTATCCCGTGAAAAGTCCCTTCCCTCAGTATACAATAGTTTCACTGTGGCAAAACACCGTGACTGCTTGGAGGTGCTCCTGCTGATGCAGCGCTAGCTAACCTTCCTCCTTGCCAGCCTGAGGAGTACGAGTACTCTTGAGCCCGGGTCTTTTGCCTTGTTGCATGTTGCGCTACAAGCCAAATCAAGCTGTTGGTCTAGCTGTAGGCTTACGTGTGAGGACAGCTGTTTTAAAGTGGAATTTCTCACACAAAGAAAATGCAGATTCTGGCCATTGCTAATGGAACATATGGTCAGGAAGATCAGCCTGAGAGCTTTCTAATGGTATCTTGTAGTGGTCTGCAGTAACTTGAGTTTAACCTTTCTGTAACAGATGATTGAGGTGGTGAACTACCCTCTGTAATACATCCAAACCCAGGAAACCCTGCAACATGGTTGTGCAACAACTGCATGCTTTGATACCACATTTCACTTTGTTTTCTAATACAGGAAGCCACACTGGGAGTGTTTCATGGTTACCAAAAGACCCTTTCAAATTTAAAAACAAAGCAAGCCAAAAGTACTGCAGCGAGTACAAGAAAATGTGTAGTTGCACCTACAATGAAAGCCAAAGCAGAAGTTTTTTAGTTCCTAGTGATGCTGGCATCAGCCCGTTGCTTCACTTGTGGTTCATCTGTTGCTGCATTATCACTTTTGACGTTTTCTTTCTCTAAGAGCCCAAGCTGGAAAGCATAAAGCACTCCTGATTCCTGATAAATAAGCAAGCTGAGGAAGCTACTTAGAAGCACTTGTGGCTGAGGGCGAGTACTTTTTGAGAGCTGTGGCTGTGCTTGTGCGGGGCAGGGAGAAGTTCCAGAGCAAAAAAGGAGCAAAAGAAGTTGAAAAAGTGCTGCTGCTTTTGTTGTCAACGTGGTTTGAAATATGGTGGGGGTTGAACGGCATGATCTAGCCCAACCTCTTTACTCATCTGAGCAATCCCTTGCGAGGCCTGTTCCCATGTGTGAGGTCATTGGAGTCACTCTCATAAATAAGGGTGGCGAGAACTGGCCCAGAAATATCAAAAATAACTTAAAGAGGAATTTTCTTTCCCTTTTTCCTTGGTTACAATTTGTTTCCTATTTCAGAGTGTGCTAGTCTCTATTCTGTGAAGGTGGTGATCACAAATAATTGTTAAACTGTTGCCATTCTTATGCAACAAGAACAGACTTTCAGTTGGACCAGGCAGACTCCTGTTTGTACATTGTCCTTTTTCCTTAACATGACGGAGGGGGAGGAATTTGCTAATCTTGTTATTGGAGACTAAGAGAAACCAGTTAAAAGGAATTTCTTCTTCCCTGGTAATATTACTGTCAGATGATTCAACACTGTCTTTATTTCATGGTTTTCATGTAACTGAGTGTGCAGCTCAGACTTTTTGACTAAAAAGTGTGGGTTTTGTATCAAGATTGCTTCTGTAAAATGTGAGATAACTCTGCAGCCCACCTCCATTAAAGCTTCTTGTGGTCCTACCAAATTAAATGATCATTGAAAAATAAGAGGGTTATTTGCACATAAGTGTAAAAATTGCCACTGTAGTGGCAAACAATTCAAGCCTTTTAACACACTGAGGCTGAAATTCATTCCTGTAGAAAGGGCCAATCCCGAGTTTCTGTGCTCATTAGGGTATTATCTTGCAATTTGTTCTAGATGGGTGCAAATGTGTGTCTTCAACAAGCAAACTGCAGGATTGGAGCCAAAATGCCCCTTCATCCTTATCTGAAATCATGAGAGGAGTTCAAACAATGAGCTTAATGCTGGCCCTCTGCATAGGAGTGAATTTTACCCTTAAGACATTAAATAAATGATTCAAAAGAATTTCCAGATTAATCAAACAGTCTCCTAGGTCAGATTTTCTCATGCAGTTGTACACATTGCCTAGTCCTCACCCAACTTCCATACTGATTTATTTGCCATATTCACTTGCATTTTGGAGATGAAGACATCCTTGCTAAGCTTGTGCTGTGTGTTCTCAGATTTTCTATTCTTGTTCTTCTGCTTTCTCTGTTCCTTCCATTGCTTTCTGCAGGTATTTAAACCCATGGTTCAAAAGAGAATATAATGTAGCTAAGTGGGTAGAAGATGTGAATAAAAACACTGAAGGACCATACTTTAGGTATTTTGTAAATTAATTCTATATCATTTTTAAGAGCTGTTCCAGCATATACAAATATCTTGGGACTCCTACCTTGTATAAATCAATACAAGTTACTGTAGGTGCAAAGGGCCCCTCTTCTTTTGCTGCATTTTGGTGTCTGTTTTTGGCTTCATGTGCAATTTACAATTCTTTTTCTGATCGTTTTAATGAAGCCATTGAAAAGGGTGTGTGTAGTGCATGCGTTCCCACCATCATCTGTAGCTTGTAGTAGCTTTCTCATCATTTTATGCCAAGTAGTGTTTTATAAGCATGAGACATATTTATCACTAATAAAGTAGTATTAACTTAAATAGAATGTAATTTACTGAAGCAAACGGTTTCATAACACATTGACTCTACCCAATGTCTTATATAGTGCATACTAAAAATTTAAATGAAAAAAGAATAAAAAGTAGTGGTATTTTACCCTTAGCATACAATGGAATAATTAATATATTGTCATTGGAAAATTAAATGTATGAGAATATACTCTGTGCTCTATTTATCAAACCACCAATGAATCTGTTACAAGTGAGTGTAGGGTTCAACCAAAAATATCAGTTGTTTCTGAGAGGGAAAAGTGGGTATTATTTGTTGTATTCCAAGTTAAAGAGAAGAAGCATGCATGAGGCTGGTGTCCCTGTTGTACATAAATCAGGAGACTGAGAACATTTTAGTAGATTCCCAAAAGACACAATCCCAGAACTGAGACAGAAGTTTGCATCTGCAGAAAAAATCAGCTAGCATAGGAGAGAATGGAAGACAGTTTGTGACAAATAATATAAGTAATGAAAGAAATTGATGAAGCTGTAAGTTAACATATCAAAAAATTAAGCCAAAACAAGAATTGTAGAAATACAAAGAACACAAAGCAAAATCTTTAGCCAAAACAGTGAAGGATGGTAAGAACGAGTAAATAGAATCTTAACAATGGTTTCCTACATTAGTAGACCTAATAATAGTGAAAAAGGGCAGAAACATTCACTAAATATGTCCAGTGTGTATTTGGGAAAAAAAACGTGATGGAGTTGTATCACAAAATTCTAATCAAACACTTCCATTCCAATAGCAGTACTGACATATTAAATAGCAGAGTGGGAATTTAGTAATTTTTAGAACTAAAAATGTCACAAAGTCTTAAAAAAGCATAAAATTGTCACTTTTAAAAACCATTTGTATTTGCTTTCTCGAAGTCTTAAATCACAGAGTAAGTTGCACAAAAGCTTTCCAATGAACAAATAGGGCAAATAAGATAAATTTAAGCCTGCCAGTCCTGATCTCGGTCCTGAACAAGGAGTAAAAATTCCTGACACAAGAATCCCAGGCTTATGGGAGGATGTTGTGATTTTGCCAGCTGGTATCAGCCAGGTCTTGGTGTTGGTGCTTGGACATTCAGGCAGGTTGTATTGTGAATCTGGTAGTTTTGCCATTACTGGTTTTAGCATTGGGATACAAGGTCCAGTTCTGGTGTCCGCAGTTCAACAAACATGTTCAAGAACTGGGGAGATTTAAGCCCTGAGAAACCTTAGAAGGGACTGCAGGGCCTCAAGCTGTTCGGTTTAATCGAGCAGCTAAATGCTTACCTCATTGTAAAATCCACATTGCTGCATATGGAGCAAAACTTTTGTGGGAAGTCCTTTAGACTAGCAGACTGAGACTGATAATGACCAAAAGTCACTGGAAGGTGAAATTAGGCAAACTTACACTAGAGATGTGGTGTGGTTTTATTAGCAACCTGTTTCCTAAAAGTACCCTCTGGACCTTTGTTGTTCAGACAAGGCTGTCAGTCCCTTACCATAATCTAACCCCATAACTGTCTTTCCGGGTGTATCAGAAGTCCTGTGGCTACAACAAACAAAGACATTGATGGAATATGAAGACAGCACTAGTTTAAAATATGTTAGTTTAAATGGTTTAGTTAAACATGTTTAAATTCCTTTGTGGATACTCTTAATTTGGTTTTCACCTTTTACAGTATATCATGATTTAGTAACTAGATCAAATTGATTGGAATGTACCCCACCCCTGCGGGTTTTCAACTGTTGCACTGAATGAGTCACATATCTAATTGTATTAGAGATAAACCAAGTGTTTTATGCAGGTAAATGAGGATCAAGCTGACCCATGCAAATTTTAAGGGCTGTATATCAGAGGTGAAACATAAATTAAAAATTTTACACCATAGAATCTTACTAATGACTGCCTGCAGCAGTAGCTTTAGAAATGAGAGAGAAACTGGAATAAATTTAGAAACCTGTATGTACTAATTAATTGAGGTAACCATGGGGAAGTATTCTGCAAGTATGTTATGGTAGGCAAAGGATCAAATCTTCTCCCGGGATGAGTTGCCATGGGTTTATGAGAAGTTGAACTGAATGGTTGCTCCCCAAAAGCCAGGTGCAATTTTGGTTAATCCCTCATGGACTGGAAAACATTGTTCCTAGGAATGGTGTGTTTGAAACTCATATGGCTGTGTTTTGAGCCTGTGAAGTGATTCACGAACAAAACAAAACAAATCTTTGGTAAAAGAAAGTCAGGCTGAAGTCAGGCTGTCCAGCTGATACTACATTTTAGGAATCGTAGCCCAGGATAAGACATTTACACCAGATAATTAGCTGAGTAGCATTTTTGTTGCTAATCATCTTTGAGTTCTTTTAAATATGTCCTGAAAGTAACACTGCTGCTTTGCTTGTCTCCCTATAGCTTTAGGAATAATGTGTTGATGACTGGTGCTGTTTCAAGTAGAGTTGAAGAAGAATCAGGAAAAAAAAACAAACAAACAAACTTCCTACAATTCCTAGGAATGCTGCAGATTTTCAGAAAATATAGATATTAGTCATCACAAAGACTTTATTTCTCAGCTTAAAAAAACCCCAACTATATAAAGCAAAATTTGTCTCTCTGACACCTGGTATCCTACTTACTATTTTTTTTTTTCCTGGTCTACAAGCCTAATGGGTATTTCTATATAATTACTTTTTATTAATGATAATAATAATAGTAGCTGGCGTCTCTGGTGCCAGAAATCTCCCAGCTGTGGGAATCCTTTCTGTAAGAAAATAAGATCTGTAAAGAAAAATCTTATTTTACTGCTTAAATTCTAGGCTAGATTTTAATTCTACATGGCAGGCCATAGCTGCATAACTGCAGCAATAAACACAGTCAGAAAACCTTCCTCTGATTCGACTTTGCTGCAAGGCACACTGTTTTACCAGTGTGATACTAGTACTATTTTTTTTTACTGCCAATTACAGTGGTTACTGCACAGACTGACCTTATGAACAATGGTTAAGGATTACTCAAAATCCTCACTAATCTTCAAAGACTCAGGAACCACGATGGTATCAGAAAATAAACTGTCAGAATCCCAAAATGTGACATTTCTGTAAATAATTATAGACAAAAAAAGACAAAAAGGCACCTTCTGAAGCACTGAGCTGCTTGCATTTGATTTCATACAAATATTTACAGTATTTTAGATTCTGTGGCAATTGTTTAAGAATAGTTTACAAAGAAATCAGGTTTTTTAGATGGAGACCCAGGATGCATACCCTAGAGAGAAAATGGCCATCTGTATCGGAAAGGCACTGGCAAGGAGCATGGAGGGCAGGAAACAACAGGCTATCCATTTCCCTCCTATTGTTTTTGTGCTTTGGTGTTCTTGCTTTCTTCCTCGATTTCTTCTCAGCTCCTCCTCAGCTGACCATTAGCCAGAGTTGGCTCTGCTGCTCCGTGAGGTCCATTGCCTTCCTCTGTGAGCATCCAACTGAGGCCAGGGCTGTGACCAGCCATTTAGCTCCCTGCAATCCCTGAGGCAGCTTTAGACTGTGCTTCAAGGAAAAAAAAAGTTTTCCCCATTACAACCACAGCAAAATACTGTCCTTGTTGGCAGCCAGTGAAAAAAATGCCTGTTGACACCTGCAGGATCAGGATTTCAGTTCAAGGGTTAGGGAAAAGAGTTCATTAAAACATTTGAGTGCCTGCTTCTGGGGCATTGCTGTGCAGTGCTTAAAGTGGACGGCTTGAGTCACAGCCTTTGCCTTTTTTGCAGCCCCCCCATGAGCCGAGCCGAACTGAGCCTCTGCTGCTGCACTTTCTAAGGAAACTTGTGCACATCTGTGGTTTTTAAAAGGAACTGCATTAAAAATGTTAAAATGTTAAGCCACAGCAGTGTTTCTGGAAGATCCCAACTTCCTCATGTAGGATAATTTAGGCTGATAATGTCTTACAAAGAGCTGAACCTACGGCAGCAAAGGTCAGATTAGGCTGATTGTATCTACATTTGGCCTTGAAGTGCTTTTGCCAAATTGAACGCTAAGTGAATTTCGTTAAATTATTTCAGTCTACAAGACAGAATCAAGCACAGTTTATGAACAGTTCAGATCTATCAGGGCTGTCTGCTTTGAATTTAGCTGAAATGACATTTGAAGTTGCAAGATGTTTAGTTGTGTGACCAGGTAGCACATTTCACACTGTCTCTTGTGGGCCAGCGCTTTCCCTGTTGAGGTGACGGCAGAGCAGGCAGAGCAGGCAGGCGCCTGGCTGCAGGAGAGCGCATGCAGATGTCCTCCCGCTGCCACGGCGCTTTGTTGTGAATCCCAGCATGGTCTCCCTACACTCCTAGTTTCAGCTTCTAGGACAGAAAGACGGACACGAAGTGGCCACTACAGCTTGTTTTCTCGTCGGAAATGAGAATTCTCGCAGTGGGTTAAGGTGCATGGCTTTATTTGGGGTTGGTGGTAGTGCCTCTGAAACCATCATGGCGTGTACAGGGCAGAATGCAGTCTGCAGCCCAGTCTGCATTCCTAGTTTTTTGTTCAAGTTTCAGCTGGAAACAAGATTTGGCATGAAAGCAAATCAATGTGATAGCAGGAGAACTGAAACCCCCAGCGAAAGCTAAATGGATCCCATCCTTGACCAAACTCCTAAGTTTTGCCTACTTTTAACCCTAGCATTACCTGCAAGTGTCCCTGAATGCCGTCTTTCTTCCATCCTGTAAATGAGAAAGGTCATGTCTGGCTCTTTCTCATTTAAAGTACATGTAAATCTGGGATACACAGCACATACACAATTGCAGGGCAGAACTTGAAAAGTGATCAAAACCACCTCAAACAACTATGCTTATTATGCAAGACGCATCCTAAGATCTGTGAGCATACACTTAGTAGTGATTTGTTTTTCATCTCAGTAGATGGCACTAAAGATGACAAAAACCAGTAGCAGAAGTAAGGGGCAAGGGCCTGTGAGGAGAGGGCAAGGTCATTTAAGTGTGCAACTGCATTCTCGATGTATTTGTCTGTAGCTTTGCACATGCAGGTGAGCAGTAGTGTGCACATCAGTTAGGTGTGCAAACCATAGGTGAGCTGGTAACGTGAAGTGGGGTTGAAAAGTCAGAAATGTAAGCAGCTACACTGGAGGTCTGGGCTTCAAAAGCTTTTGAAAGGCAGCACTGTGTTTGAGTTACGGTGCAAAGCTACCTGGCTACAGGCTCAGCTAGAGATCCTGGTCAGAGGACCTGCTGTGCAGGGAAGATGTTCAAGATGCCCCATCCTTGTGGAGGTTATTGCTCCTTCCAGGATCACCTTCTGAGGCTGATGGACAGGTATATTGACCATGGCTTTCCCTCTCACCATCGCCTTCTCTTGTGGTGCCTAAAATAACCCATGGGAAGAGCCTGTGGTGTGCAGGAGGCGATGTTGTGCCTGGGTGTGGTGCAAGGGATGGGAGATGCCTTCATTCTGTGTGCTACCTCATGGCTGTGGTAACTATGAAACCAGGTTTCTAACAGGGATTTCCAAGTCAGATCTAACACCCCCCAGTTCCTTGCTTCCAATCTCCAGGTGCATAATAATAAATTTAAACATGAAGATTTTAAGTCCTCCTGCAGCTGTGGGACAAAATTTGTGAATAATTCAATTAGTAAGAATATGTAAAATCTGCTCTCATTATCTTCCCTCCTTTCTCCTCCTTATTTTTTGATTCTAGATCCACTAATAGTTTATTAGTGATTTTTATCAGTCCAAGTGTGGGCACAGATGAGAGGACTTGTACAGGTAGCGAACAGCAGGGCCCTGTTGAACCTTTCCCTGGATTTAAAAAAACACAACAACCTGTTTTGTCGCCTGTGCAGTTTGGTGCCCAGAACTGTGATGCTGGACATACGAATGCTTTGTTTTATACTGCCATAACTTTACAATTTTCTTCTTGAAGAGGTTTATGTATGTCCAGTTCATCTTAATGGGTGATCAAAATGCATGTGCTGAAGATGTACTCTTCAGTATTTGGACAATAGTACCAGCTGAAATGTTTACAGGGCTATTGAATTTTGAGGCTATAGCATGAGGCATTAGAGCATTGTGAACCAGATTGGAAAACTGTCACCATATAATTTCCATTGACACCTTGTTGCTTGTGGCTACCATCCACCATTGTTTGTATGGGAGACAAGAGAGTGTGCTGTTGTCAGGAGGTACAGACAAAATAAAATGATGCAGTAGTCCAAAATAAAATAATAATTATTTAAAAGTAAATGAATTTCACTTAGATAATAGAGATACAAAACAGTTCCAGACATAAAAGAGTCCCTGCCTTGTTTGTAATCCTCTCTAGATGAAAGGACCTGATCCTGCAAATCCCAGAGCCCGGGGTGTGGGGCTGTCTGCCAGAGGTGGTTCCTGTGGCTCCTTGGTGTCAGTGATGGTGCTCATCACTGAGGTCTACAGCTGTACAACACTCAGCTCTGTGCTGCATTTGAGGGGCTTGGAAGACCTGTCTATAGAAACTGAGGGAAACCTTCCATCTTCAGGGATGCATTAAGTTCAGAAGATAGTAGCAGTGCACAGGGAGTGTCTGGGTGATGCTCCCACTAGTGGGAGGCCTCCTTTGAATAATACCCTCAGTTTGCAAAACAGAATAAGACCAGGGTAGCTCAATTTTTCTACTTTGAGTCTTTTTTTCCCTTTTATTCTGCCCAGATTTAGAGCCTGATAGGAACCTCTCAAGTGGGAAAAGTGCAGAATCTCAAAACAGAACCATAAGATTTTTTCTTGGGTATAAAATTTCAGTCAATAATGTGCTGCTGCCTTATTGACATGAAAAGAACGCCTTTCATGTGATACAAACATTTACTTGCTCCTGCTTACTCTACTCACCTTGTACAGAAATGCTGATTGCCATTGACTAATCAGTCCATTTTTGTATATTCTCATCAGACTCTTTCTTTGGCTGGAACAATATGCACTGTATGATGCTTGCATGTCTAATAATTTGTTATTAGCACTTTGTATATGCCTTTGTTACTTCACAACTAACAGTTTGGCCTCCAAGTGCATGCATTTGTGTAAATTAATGTGTTACAAAATAATAGATTTATTTGCTATGTTTGTATCAATATAGCAGATGTGTAAGATACACATAAAGACATTGATAATTGCTATTTAGTTACTGGCAGAAGACATTGTTCAGCTTGTATTTATACAATCACTGTTTCTATTTAGGCTTCATAATGCCATGTCTATCTTCTAGTTCCGTGTTTATTCAATTGCATATTTGGTTTGTAATTTTATAATGTTTAATTACAGTACCATATAAAACAGCTTACAAAATCTTTTTTGTTATGCGATACAATTCTAATAAGAAGTAGAAAATTTTATTTTTTCTTCCAGTGTTCCTGAAAGCTATAAATACCTTTATTCATATAATGAAATTATTAGACTACTGATCAAGCAACTTTATCCCCCCCAATATTGAGCTAATAATAAGCTATATACTTGGTTCTGAACCAAGCTTCAGAGTAATGGCAGTTGCTGTTGCAGTGCTAGGACCCAAAGACATTGCATTTATTTTGTGTGTTTCAACATCTCAGGACACTATCTCCTGCAAAGTCTCCATCTTCGTCCACCGGATCTATTGCTTCCAGCAGAAAATACCCTTACCCGATGCCACCACTTCCTGATGAGGAGAAAAAAGCCAACAGGCAAAGTGCCAGGGTACGTGTCCCTCTTCTCTGTGCATTTCGTCAGTGACCTGATTTACTGGTAATTTTTCAAAAGGAAAGCGTGGCAGATCAGCATCTTTGACTAACAGTGAGAGCAGCAGTGGCATTTCCTTCGTACCCTTAACTCCAGAAGCTGCTGAAGGCTGAGCCTCTGGCAGCGATTAGGGCAGCCTCGGTGGCTGCGTTTACAGGTGTCTGTTCAGGTTGCTCTTAAACCTGCCTCAAAACCCAGATTTCACTAGCTGTCTTATTTCAAGCTGGGAGCAGGCCTGGGGCAGCCTTCAGGCTGTGGCGGATGGGCAGACCTGGAGCAGGCTCCTTTCCCGGGGGCTGACGCAGCCAGCAGCTCTCGCCCATGCTGGGGGAGAGCTGCTTTTCAGCTTTATGGGAAGGTAACTACTTTGCAGTTAAGGAGGATGTGGAGGGCTTGTATCAAGCCCTTGCAGTCCTGGAGGGACTTTGCTGCTGTGTGCCCTGAGACCACCCTGGCCCCCCAGGGTTGACAGGAGCCGCTGGAACATGCTGTGGATCATGATGCTGCTCCACAGGGAGAGATTTCCAGCTGCTGCCAAAAGGCAAAGCTAGCCGTTGCTTCCTTTGTGTCAGTTCAGACATAGCAGGTATTTGAAAAAGCAAACTCTGAAATTTACTTTAGGAATTTTACTTGTGATAGCTTTAGTTAACGTTCCTGATACATATGAGATTCCCATCTCTGCTCCCTGTCCTTTTTTTCCAAGAAAAATGGGAGTGGAGTGCTGCTGAGGGGACCTGCATGCGGCTACCCCCACATCATTTTCGGGGCAGAAAGTTGTGTGAGGGAAAGCACAGGGTCTTCCAGGCACATGTGGAGCAGAGCAGCTGTGAGGAAGGGCTGCACTGATGTTTCTCAGCCCTGGAGCTGCCTCAGCACCAATTCAAACCCATGGCAGAAATTCATGCTACCCTGAGCAGAGTTAGGCGGAAGAGTGGGAAATTAATATTAGCATAACTGTAAGGTAAAAGCTGTCTAATACAAAATTGATGCTACACTGACATTTTGCCTTCAAACTCTTGGCACTCCCAGCCATGGACATTTACTATGCTGACTGCAAGTCATGCTGAAATGATTGAGACTGCTGACTTTGTGGTCTGGACAGATACCCACCAGAGGCTGGGAGGAGACCAAGAGTGCAGCCTTTGTGACCCAAATGATGTAGATCACACTGTTTGGGTAACAGCCTGTTTTATCTTGGTGTTCAGTGTGTGTTTGTGTTCCTTCTCCCCCTCTCCAGCTATGGGAGACTTCCATTTAGCTGCACAGTTTTCCTGGGGTGACATCAGAACTGTTTACTTCGAATTTTATAGAAACTCAGCATCTCTGAGTCATTGAACATTCATCTGCTCTTCAGAGAATTTGAAAGATCAACAGAGATGCCCATGATCACAGTGAGAACCTCCTCTCATCTGGAAGGGAAAAAAGCAGTCTTTTTTTTTTTTTTCTTTCTTTCTTTCTTCCTTTCTTTCTTTCTTTTTTGTTGACTAGTATTTTATGGATTTGATGAACAACCAAAATCATAACAATTAACAGGGGATAATTAGCCCAGATGTGACAAGGCTGTTCCGCATGATGACAGATACACTTACCTAGAATCCCAACTGCAGTCTGTTTGCCAGTCCCGCGTAAGGGAGATTTTTCTCTGGTTTAATGCAGTCCTGAGTCAGACCCAAGTGGAACTGGGAACACGCCTCCCGCAGAGCCCAGCCAATGTAAACTTGTATGCTGTATGCATGAACCTTGTGTTCTTTACTTTCCACATGTAAGGGATAAACAACATACTGTAGTAGAAATTAGCATGCAGGAGTAAGAAATATAGGATTTTTTTTTTTTTTTTGTGACAGGATTTCAAGCCTTGAAAGGCAACTATTTGACACAAATGTCAAACAAACAAGGATTATATCTTTTTTTTTTTTTTTTATAATCTCAGTATATGGATTGTATATATGTAAACATTTGATAATGTCAAAAACAGCAGTTATACATAAGTGTATTTTGCTAAATGCCTAAAGAAACAGTCATGACTAACATCATCACACTTCAAATTTTCTAATATTACGAGCAGACAACTTTGGAAATACAGAAAGTACAGTACTGTAAAACTGTGTCTCAGAAACTGGTGTTTGACCAAAATCTGTACTATCTTTTCAGTATCTTATACTGTCTTGACAATCTCAGTTGTATGGTAGACTGCAGAAACCAGTACAGCAGCACTTTGTCTTAAATCATCGTAAGAGGAACCAGCCAAAATACATTGTTCAGTGAGATGACCAGTGTATCCTCTCACAGGTGTAATCATGAATGATTCGGCAGACAACACAGTCTTTAAGTGATGTGCAGCCCAAACTTACTGGACATTTGGGAATACTCCTAAGTAATCAATTCAGGATGTGGTGATGTGAAGTCCTTCTCATGAGAGTTGCTGTGTATTTTTGATAGAGCATTTCAGACACTGTTTTAGATGGCAAGGCATAGCTTATGAGAAGCGTAACGATTTCACTGCACTAGATAATAACAGTGCTGGGCAAGTGGCCAGTTTCATTGCTGTCTTTCATTTTTGTTACTGGAATCACCTTTACCATGTGCTTGAATGCTATGCTTGCTACCCCTGAAGCCCACTTAACAATTTTTGGGGGCATTAAACTGAGTGCAAGTGAGTTTAACCTAAAAAAATGGGGCGGGGGGAACAAAACCTTTCTCTTGGGAATGTTAATCTTGTGTATATGTGGGTGGTTAGATTTCTAACACCTGAGACTTCTAAAGGTTGTTGTAAAACAAATGCTTTTTGACTGGGAATTTTCAGTCAGTAAGAAACTGGACCATATTAAATCAGTTTATAATTCTCCAGCTTTTCAGAATTGACTAATTCTTAGCTTCAGGTAGTACCATTGCAGAATAAAACACCCAATTCTGTGTGGTGCAGTCAAATACCTTGCCCAACAGCCGTATGATCAATTAGATATTATTGTAATGGGAACATCTACGGTGTTTCTGAATCTTCTACCTCTCTCATGTATTTCCTTTAATAAGTGAAGCCAACACTTACAGCCTTTTAATATATTTTTTTAAGTCTCTCGATTAAGTCAGATATATGTAAGATTAAATTAAGAAATGTTTAAAGATGTCAGCAACTGTAAAGTATGTAAGATTTTTAGAAGTATTATATTTTATGATTAGGCTGTATGTTGGATTATGACAAAATATTGGCCTTGGCGTTCAAATGATTTTCCTTCACAGTCAACAGGTTCTGGTAAGTATTTTGGAGAAAGACAAATACGAGTGAGTGCAAGTGGATGCAGACAGACCATCTGGAAGGAGCCAGTCACTTGTAATTGCTTTAGGAAAAGATTCGGCACTTTTGTGAAGAGTTAATATCTGTCAGCACTGAAGAATGTTTTTTGCAAAGATGTACTTTGAGTGGAGATAACTGGATTAAACATAGTTGGTAGCACGTAGCTCATGAAATTAGGGTCTGAGCCATAATCACTTGAAATCAGTATGTCTTTTACTGATTTCACTGGACTTTGAGCAGGACCCTCAAGGAGTTTACCCACATTAGGACACTATGCTAACCCAATAGCCACTGTGTTACTCTGTCGCCTGGAAGCTGTTTTTCCCTCCCATATTAGTAACTTGTCTTTAGTAACTGGACTGGTCATCATGTGCCTTTTATGGTATTTTGTTTGGATACAAACTGTCATGTAATTTTGAATAATCCTGTTAGATTTCTCTGCATATTTTATGTTTACCACTGTTTACTCTTCCCTTTTGATTTTGCCTTATCAAGAAGCAGCAAGATTTGGCAGATGGAACTGGATGTAACATACTGGCTCTCTGTGTAATGTTCATAGCTTCTTGTTTTGCAAACAAATGGCTCTCCTAACTGTATTTTAAATGTAGTATGTACTTTCAGCTTCTCTCTTGTTTTGGTATAAATAATTTGTGGCATATGATGATACAGTTACATGTGTAGTGTAACTTTAACAGTCACTTTCACATTTGGAGATACGTAGTGACTGGAAGTCTAATTATGAGCACTAAGTTTAAGTTAAATAAATATTGACTTTCACTTTGATGGTCTAGAGTGAGAACACCACAGGACTTGGGTTGGTAACTTGGAGAACTTGTTGTTGCACAAAACCTGAACTGGCAGGGCTGTGTGAGCCTCCAAAGCCAGTGAAGGTCAGAGAGAGAAGTTGTTTGCTTACATTTGGTGGGTTCCTGCTTTTAAAATGTAGAGTGTTGGAAAGCTGCCAGATTAATAACTTTGAAGATTACAAATATTTTTATCCACTGTAGTTAGTTGCACTGGCAACAGCAATATAAATTGCCGCGTAATACCTCATCCAGTCTAAAATCGAGTACTTGTATTGTCAGTAAGATAGCTCAGTCATTTTGACTCATTGAGACTCATGCTTTTATTTTGTTTTTATTTTAATAAATGAACTAGTTATTTCCAGCTATGCTGTAGATGCCTGTTGAAGTGGGGAGGTTATCAGTTCTTCTCAAATAGAAGTAATTGTCCATATGTGCATAGGTCTTGCAGGATGACCTATATTTACATTAGTGTTATGTATTTCAACATGGGAGAATAATCTTGTATAATTTAAAATAAATATAACTAACTGATGGAGACTGGAAAATAGAGATTGTATCCAAATAATAATGCTGCACAATGATGCCACAGTTTAACAAGTAAAAATTTACCTGCTAATTCCCGATTTGTTGACATAAGAATTTCAGTAATCCATACTGTAGACTTTTGGTGAATATACTCAAGCAATATACCAGAAATGGTTGTGATTAATAATTTACATACAGTTTTGTTATAATTAAATAAGAGTTTTAAGGAGGTTGTTAATTTTATACAGCCTATCTTTGCTTAAATTGTGAACTTGTCACTACATGCCAGTTATCTGATTTGAAGTGTGACTTGACTTTGAAGATAGCTACTTCCAAATGATTTGAATTCCTGATTATAAGATGTTGAACCTGCTAAATTGATGCACTCATCAGATAATTTTGATGGTGCTAATGAACAAATAGACCTTTGAGCTATAGCCTGAATTAAATTCAGAAAGAAATTGTGTCAGTAGCTAGTGTACTGAAGTCCTCTTACCTGAATCCCTGTTGCTGGTTTTAAATGAACTGAGTGGTCTTGTCAACGGCAATGTGACAACCATTTTCAAAACCACAGCTAAGAATAAGTACATACACTATTACAGGCACGCATACACTACAAATTCAGACCAAATTTGCAGTCATTTCATTAATGAATGAATTAATTAATAGGATAGGATGTAACATGAAAGAATGATGAGACTCCATAATCCTACAGGATAAGAAGTTAGCTCTTAGGACTTGCTCTGCCATCGGATCCCATACCTAGCTGTTGTAAGCAAAATTATCACACTCCAGTGTAAAACTCCTGTTCTCTTCCATCCCTTTTCTGCTTCTGCTGAAAAGCATTTCCATGAATGATAATAGCCTCTTGTGTTAATTGGCTAGCATCAAGAGGATGATAAATTAGTCACCTTTCCACACAACGTCCTGGATAAGGTCTTTCCAGTGCCTCAGGTTGCATGTGCAGTTTGCACCGATGTGCTGGTTTTGGCTGGGATAGAGTTAATTTTCTCCATAGTAGCTGGTGTGGGGCTGTGTCTTGGGTTTGTGTTGGAAACAGCATTGATAATGCAGGGATGTTTCCCTTACTGCTGAGCAGTGCTTACGCAGCGCCAAGGCCTTTTCTGCTCCTCACCCCACCCCAGCGGCAAGCAGGCTGGGGGGGCGCAAGGAGTTGGGAGGGGGCACAGCCAGGACAGCTCACCCCAACTGACTCAAGGGATACCCCACACCGTATGGCGTCATGCTCAGCAATAAAACCGAGGGAAGGTTGGCGGGGGGCCGCTGCTCGGGGACTGCCTGGGCATCCGCCAGTTGGTGGTGAGCAACTGTTTTCATTTGCATCACTCGTCTTTCTTGGGTTTTATTTATCTCTTTGTTATTTCCCTTTTCATTACAATTTATTATTATTATTACTATTATCATGACTATTATTTTATTTCAGTTATTAAACTGTTCTTAACCTATGAGTTTTCTCACTTTTACCCTTCTAATTCTCTTTCCCCGTCCTGCTGCGGAGGCGGGGGGGGAGCGTTGAGGCAGTGGCTGTGTGGTACTCAGTTGCTGGATGGGATTACACCAGGGCAACTGGTAAAACCATTTAGTGGCTTAGCCATCCAGTGTCTTCCTCACCCTCTAACATTGCTGAAGTCTAAGCCTCTTTAATCACTGAGCCTGTGAACCTCAAAGTTGTGCTGTGTCCTATTTCTTTTGCTGCAATTCTGAAGATCATCCATTTCTTTTTCTAAGTTACTCGAGTATCTTTATCATTAGCAGACTGATTGGGCCACTCTTATCAACCACAATGTGAGGTTAATTACCTTATTTTTAACAGCTTGAGCATCCTTGTCTCCTCTGAAGCCTGGCTTTTCTATCCCGGAATGGATTATCCATCAGGCTACTGAGCTGATGTCCCACTATTTGCATGGCTTCCAAACCATATGACATTTATCAGCAGTATGGGATTTGACTTTGATCAGATCTCCCGAAGAGAAATATTAATAAACTGCATGTGTTTGTACAGCTTGTCATCCCATGACTGCATGGTGGGGTAATGTTCCCGTGTGCATGTAACTATTACCCTAATAGAGCAGGAAAAAAGGGAACAGTGCGATTGTGTAGACATAGCTGCAGTGCAGACAGGGCTCTGGTAAGTGTGATTTCACCAGAAACAGGGAAGGAAGTAATAGGTTCTATCATCAACACTAGAAAACTCCTTTGATTTGGGTATTTTCCAAGTCAGTTAATGGAAAACATTTCTGGTGCCTCAGGTATGAATGCTGATGTAAACTAAAGCTTTGGAAACAGTAGCTTATACACCCAGCTCGTGGTATCTTGGCATTTCACAAGTTTTCTGCAACTATTTAGAGAAGCACTGCAGCGGTCAACATTAATATGTTATCTCAGCCAAGTGACCAAAATGAACAGTAAAAATAAATTCAAAACACAGAAATGAGGTAATTTGCTCACACTTGAGGAACTTTGTACCTGACTACAAAATTGGTTCACCGCCTAATGCTTTTAGTTCTCTAAAATCCAATCTAAGCCAGTTTGAAAATCACTTTAGCTAAGCCAGCTTTAAACTATTTAAAAACTTCGGCTACGTAGACAGGCCCTAACTGCAATGTAACTCAGAATGTGATGAGGAAGACTGAGGAGAATAAGTGCAGAGCAGTTAAAAAGAAACACGTTCTCTAAGGGAGAAGTATAGGTGTCTTACACTATTTTTAAGTACTAGAGCATAAAATGTCAAAGCAACAAGCTAATTTTGTTTCTGTATTCCTCTGAATAAAAAAAATAAGGTTTTGTTTAAAAAAAAATCTTAACATGAGGCCTTACATAACTTTAGCATGGAGAGTCTATTTTTACAACCATGTTAGAAATTCTGTATATAGGCCTGACTGACCTTGTAAGTACAGTGGTGCTAGGAGCTAATCATGCAATATTGTAAGGCTCTGTATAACAGTAATTGCTGATTTATTTTGATTATTGGTAAAATAACTCCTGCTCACTGCCTGTGGAGAGACTCTGCGTATTTTATGCTTGAAAATACAGTCCAGAACATATTCAAACTGTGAATATATAACCTGATTTTTTTTTTCTTAAGGGTAAAGATATATTACAATAGGTAGTGTTTTATATAGAATACAGTACTTATTTTTATTGCTGCATAAATGGAAAATATTTTTTTCAGAATAGCAAAGCATTACAGAATTTTTAATCTGCTGGAGAAAACGCTATTTACAGTATGACCAGTTCTTTCAGCAAAGCTTTTGGGGTGGTATATACCAATTGGCTCTGCCAGCTTCAATTTGTGCTAATGTTTATCATCTTCAGCATTGCTGTAAAAAAAGTTATCTATTTTTTCACTTATACTAGCCCTTACTGGTAAAACATTTAGAGAGGCAAGGAGAATCGTGTTTCACCACTGGGGTGGGCTAGTATTAGCAAAAACAACCAATCTATACCATATTGTTGTCTTTGCTAGTTAAAATCCTTTAAAGAACATAGCTGATGTAGTAGAAACGTAAGATTTTGACAAACACCAAAACGAAGCATCACAATTTACAACTTTCTAGCTCTGAGTGTGATATTTTTGTCATAATCAGTACAGGCATTGGGCTGTTTAAGTGAATGAATCTGGCTTTCATGCAGCTAAACGAAATGTTGCTTTTTATAAATTAAATTGGTGTAATTTGGGGTTCTAAATTCCTGCTCACTTTTAATAACAGCATCACAGTATCCACTTCTATGAGAGTATTTAATACAAATGCCTGTGGTTTTCAATGTTACTAACATATTGTAACATCAGTAAAGTGACTTTCAATGACAAAGACCGTTGTGTGTATTTTGTTCTCAGAAGTCCTTATATTTAGCACTTCCTGATTTATAGGTCTCTATGAAACAATGATGCTGCATGCATGGGAAAAAAAATAGCTAATGGCCAATAATGGAACACAGATGTTCTTTTTCAAATTCCAGAGCTGACAATGATCCTGTGAGCTTCCCAATCGTTGTCTTAGGGTTCTGCTGTTCTCAAGGCAAATGTAAAATTCCTGTTCCTTAGGTTTGCATATCTGAGGGAAACCTAGAAAAAATACATACATTCTAAACCATGCCCAATTGTTTGCACAAAGGTCAAGAGCAAACACCCCGCTTAGTACCATATAAGCCTCCTTCCCAGTATGCCTTGTGGGAAAGAGAAACCCTGCATTCCAAGGTGTAGATAACTGTTTCTCCAGAGCAAGTAACTTACACGTTCAGATTGCTTACTGAATCTCTCTTAATGGGGAAGCAACTTTTACACAGCTCTCAGGTTTTACATCATTTTCAGATGTTTTCAGGTTTTACATCAGATTTTTTTTTTTTAGTTATGTAACAGCAAATTCTATAGGCACTGCTTAGCAAGTTTTTTAGTTTATGTCTAAACATGAAAAATGACGTATCCTATCAGTCCCTGTGAAGACCATGGACTTTTTAAATGCTTATGGAAAACAAAAAGCAATTATTTCTTGTATAAGCTAGAATTTGTTCCTGGTTTGGGAGTTTTACATTTTTTTCTGGTTTGTGTTTACAAAAAGATCCCTGAAGAAAATCCTATTGGTTCACACTTCTTCTTGTCACACCATTTCACTGCCCAGTAGCTGGTTGGTGCTACAACAGTAATTCAAACTGGGGAAATAAATTGAGAAAGACTTAGAGTGTTTGTTATTAGTCCTCTTTCATTGCTCCAGACAACTGTCATGCCTCTTATTTAAAAAAAAAAAACAAACAAACCAACCAAAAAACAAGTATGCAAGCCAAGCTTTTATTTGTAGGTGCAGTTTTACTTCCACATATTGTTTCAGCAATAATTCTTATGATTTATTGAGTAACTTCATACCTGCACAGGAGTGTGGACCTTCTGGGGGAGGTCTCAGACCACTCAGTCAGTTACACTTACCTATAAGAATGTTATATTCATTATTGTCCAATGTTTTCTTTCATTAGTAGTTTCAGGCCTGTGGCAGGTGGAGAATTGAAAGAGCAAAAGCAAAAAAAAAAAAAAAAATTGCAGAAGCTCCCCCCACCAAAGATGGAAGAAGCAGCAGCACTGACTGCACCCCCCATTCCCTGCCCCGCGTGGCTGAGGGGAGGAGGTAGAGATATCGGGAGCAGAGCTGAGCTCAGGAAGAAGGGAGGGGTGGGGGGAAGGTGTTCTCAAGATGTGGCAATGCTTCTCACTATCCTACTCTGTTATGTGTTGTTAGTGTCTGTAATAAATGTAAGTTCTTTTTTTCTTCCCCTAACGAGTCTGCCTTTTGCCCTTGACCATAATGGGTGATTTGCCCCTCCCAGTCCTATCTCAAATCCCAAGCCTGGCTTATTTGTCCCTTCTCATCGCTGGGAGAGAAGGGAGGAGTGAGCAGCTGCATGGTGTTGGGCTGCCATCCACACTCAAACCACGAAAACCCAGTACAAGACCAGAAACACAATTAAGCAAAAGTATAAAAGCTGAGTAGGTAATGAGCATTTTGGTAAAGATGTCTCATCATTTTTAGGGTAAACAGTGTAAGGATGAATACTGTATTTATGCAAAATGGTCTACTCCAAACCCTACAGGAAGAACAGCATTTGCTTCATACTCCTACTACCCTCCTCAGCTGTCAAAGATTTGAACAGCAGCAGAACTCATGTTTGTTACTGCACTGACAAACCTTTATGGACTTTGGTCATTACGTTAAAAACTCTTTTCTGTAGCATTCCATATCTGTTTCCCAACTTTATGGGGAACAGGACAATGGGCAATTATCAGAATGTGGAAGTATAATCATGCCTGTGCTTTTAAAATTCATTTTTGAGGGTAGAAAGAGAAGTAGCTTTTGAAATTAAATTAGAATTGATATCCAAAGGATTCTGAACTTGGTTCTTTGGGTGAGACCAGGCAGCTTTGAATTTATAGCCCAGAAACTAGAGACCTGGATTTTACAGTATTCTTAGCAAGCTAGGGTATGCAAGTGTCTTCAAGCAAGATTCCTTCTTTGAGGATTATTTCTATTGTTTGTACAGTGACATATACACATATGTATCTATGTATACACACACATAGTTTTGCTTTCATTCCTTCATACAACAGCTCCTCCCCAAAAGTGCTCTAAACCACTAATACAAGTAATATACTCCCCTTTTAACATTCTTTGTATTTACAAGGCTAGCAAAAGAACATATATCACTCCTCTGTGGTAGGTAGAAGTGACAAAAATTAATGAAAGTTTCATTAACTTATTTCATTGGAAAAAAGTCTGAACTACCGCCACACAGTTGTGCTGCTCCCTCTTCCCACACAGTGCCAATCTTCTCAAAAAAAAAAAAAATTTAAAAAGATCAAAAAACCCCACCAAACAAAAAAAACCAACTTGCTTTCCCTGAAAAGTGTCTCAGGCAAGAAAGTCTTGCCTTTCTGTGTCTGCTTTCATGTAAATTCTACAGCACCGGTAATCACTGCCATGATCTGAAATAGTAATCTGGCAAGAATTTTTCTGCATGGGTTTTGGCCCTAACAGGTCAGTTGGCATACAGAGGCAGGAAGGCTACTTGTTAGGGTTTAAAAGTGGAGGAGATAAAAACATTAATTTACCTGTAACTGAAGTGTGGCAGCTTACAAGTTTGTTGCTAAAAGCAAAGTTTATATATAAACTGACACAGCATAGTTTTTGTATGTTTAAAAATGTTTTATATAATGACACAAACAGCAAGAATCTTACTGGAACAAAAGCCCCCTATACAAGAGCACACTGCTAGAAGAGTTCTCTGCCACGTTTTGTCACATCCCTGCTTATGAGAAGTTCTAACAGGTAGTTTTACACTCAGTGCATGGTGTCACAGACTTCATCTTGCAAATCACTAGCTGTCAAAATAAGCAACTTAAACTTACTGGTGTTCTAACACACCAGTGTAAAATGACCATTCCAAAAGCTCTTTCAGTTTGTACGTCTGCTGTATGCTGTCAAAGACAAAAGAGTATGTATCATCTTATGGTCATACACATGATATTATTTAAGACAGAAAAAGGTAAGCTGAACTCCAGGAACTGGCTTTAGTGAGTCACAGGAAAAAAGTAATCATTACAGAAAAATTTACTATCCGCATAATTTGAGTTATACATAGTGAATTGCATGTTTATGAAAACAAAATCATCTTTAATAGGCCCAGGTTGGAAGCTGAAGACATCAGTACATGAGTAGTTTATATTCATTGTCAAAACTAAAACCTTCATAAAATACGCAATCTCCAATATTAAGATGCATGATCAATGGAAGATTTGGCAAAGCGAAACCCAAACTGGAATGTTAATCGTGATCATCCACGACCTGCTTCCTTTTGATTTAGATGCTCATAACACACTGTATGAACTGGAAAAAGAATAGCCACTTATTAGATATATGGTAGAGAACAAGTTTTCACATTTTCTCCTAAAATACCCATTGTCACTACCCTTTTCTGTAAACAAATTCAGTCCATGAACAGCAAAGCTTTGAAACCAAATATGAAAATTAGCTACTAATTAAAACAAAGTATCTCCTTAATAAGAGCACAACCCCCCCCCCGAATTACTTGAATCTAGTGCTCTCATATTCCTGCAGAGGTGCAGCCAGGAAGCCAAGACCTACAAGCCTGACTGAGTGTGATTTATGTCTGTCCCCAACCACATCTCCCCCAGCCTTTCCTGGGAAAAATGCCTACCAAGCCTTAAAACAAAAAAATAAAAAAAGAGCCACAGAAGGTAATGTTAGGAAGTGATGCAGCTTCTTAGATCTTCTTGAACCATGCTGGCAAGAAGTCCAGACAAAAATGCACAACCTTTTATAGAACTCTAAAATATGTGAAGACTTTTTGAGACAGTACTCAAAGCCCAGAACCTTTGTACTCTCAGAAAACGCTACAAGCATAGTGAAGACAAGCACAAACTCAAATCATTACTATTTATATTCAGTTTTAAGTTTTTCTTTAGTTTTACCCTGTAATTTTAACTGATCTTTAAAGTTCACTTACATCATCATACTGGAAGTTCACAAAACCCTGCTGAGTTGTATCCCTTCTTCTAAAACACTCTGTAAAAATGCATTAAGAAAAGAAAACAGGGACCAGGTAAGAAGAATTTCAGTTAATCAATTTTTTAAAAATGCATAGTACTTTCATAGAATTCCATAAGTCACATGAATGAGAACTCATGAAGAATACTAATTCATTCCAAGACTTAATTTCCCATTCTTAATTTTCATATTTATCATATACAACCCGTTATGTTCTGTTAATAAATATAATTTCCCAATTTTGATAACATAACTCTGCTACTCTCTGGATTAGTTTTAAGTCCATTTTTCAATAGGGGTTTAAAAGAAAATCATTATCTAGATTTTTTCCAGTTCTGCCTGTAAACTCTATTGGAAGAATCCTATTTTGTGGTATGTAAAAGTCAAAGTTGAACTTGAGATAAGTGAGTAATCAGATTTCATTAAATAAAAATGTATTATGAGGCTGATGGTAACAAGGTTGTAATCCAGCATACCAGTGAGAGCTCTGAGTTTCACACAGCAGGCAATGTAATCGTCAAATGTAATCTTTCCATGAGTGCTGTATCGCCTTGTGATTGCAGTCACTGCCTGTGGGCTCAGCCTAAATCCTATTTGAAAATAAAAAGTCTATATTGTAAAGATAGGTAAGTTAGCAGAATCCAGCACGTTTTTAATTGGAACTATCACGTGTCGGTTACTGGTAATGGGAAATGCTCTAAGTCAGCATCAGAAGCAAGAATATTTCACAACATACCCATGTTCACCAAGGCCTTCTCCAGTTCTTGACGATCCACTGTACCACTTCTATCGTTGTCAAAACTTATAAAGTGTTGCTTCCAGCCATTGACCACAGCCCAGATTTCTTTAAACTCATGAAATCCCAGTGTGCCAGACATATCCCTCTGATTCCAAAGCTAAGAAAAAAATGTTTCTTAACTTAAAAAATTTTAAAAAGCCCTCTCTTCAGTGGAAATTTGTGTATTTATCACCTGTAGTTAAAAACTCTTTCTTGAAGGTCAGCATTAACAATATTTTACTATTGTTAAATTTTCTGGTAGAAAACTAATTAGAGCATCCCACAGCACAGGGATAATACTACTGGCCAAATCCAAAGGTCAGAGAACTTGCTTTCCCCACTTCTCAGTGAAGCCTGATAAAACTCTTTGCTCTTTGTGAATTTAACTTAGTTCACACATTTCTCTTTTACCGGTCACAATGTAATTGTTACCAATAAAATACATATCCAAAATAAAAATAGATGCCAAATGAAAAATTACTTTAAGTTAGAGTATCAGTTTTATTGCATTCTAAGTGGTTTGTTCAAGATGAGCTAAAAGCCCTTCCAGTTTCATTTATGCTTTTTTCTTTTAAACAGCAAAACATTTGAACATGATAATTTGTGACTGAAAAACTCCACAGAGATCCCAACCTTGCACAGTACACCTAAGTCTTCCATACTGCGGAATGCCATATACCATCCCATTAGATCCTCAGAACTGGTTCATTCAAGGAACAGGATTCGGGGGACGTAGACTGTATTCAAGCTATGTAGTACAACTGCTTAATTCATTAGGAAGGATTTGAATGCTGTCCAATTCAAAAAGCACGAGGAGCAACTTGCACAAAACTCTGTTCTGGGCTGCCAGACCTGAGTCTCCATACTTTCAGTGGAGAAACAGCCCCCCAGGCTTAAAGGGACATCACTTGTCGTAAGATCAGTCATCGAGAGAGAGCCTTATTTATTAAAATTATGATGTCATCCTGTAAAATGAATAAGAACAGAATTTGTAGTTCCCCAGTCATACTTGTCAAGTAAGGGCTGAATGGGAATTGCAAAGCATTTCCCAAATTTTTGGCAGCCTTTCATTTTTGCTTACGTAATGCAGAAATGTTTACACTTCATAGTAAAGGATACATCCAGCATTGAGATCATGAGTCTGCAAGTCTCTAAGTTGAAAGCTGTTTAAATTAGAAAAAGCAGAAAAAAAAATAAAAGAATGATTATCTGTTTTGTCTAAATGTAAACTTTTAAATTGCTTTTTATGATATACTGATAATATATGAAATATAATTGCTTCCACTGTATACAGCCATACCATATTTTGATCTAAATAAGAGCTTTTAACCACTGTTAGAAAAACTGACAGCAGACAAGCTGGAGACAATTCAAGTTATATTTAAAATTAGGTTGCTCTTCTCTCAACTCATAAAGGTTTTGGGTTTCAGTCAAAGCAGTCATTTACATTTCACCACAGACATCACTTGAGCAAGCCAGTTTTACCCACAGAAGCTCAATTTTGTAAACTGAACACTAGGTATGCCAACAGAGGAGTTCTGCCATAGAATTTTTTGGTCAATATCAAAGCTCAATTTAAAAACAAAGTAAAACACCTTTTTAAGAATTGGCTAGCCATTACAAAACAAAACACTTCAACTCCACAGATCAGCAGTGGGGAACTAAGGAGGCTGGGAAGGTAAGTCCTATACACACAGAACTGAATACAGAGAATTTACATTTCAAAGTAATCCATATGGGAAGAAAGCCCATTCACCATGCAAATAAAAAGTCTGCAGAAGGCACAACTACAAGCGTTTTCTAGTAGACAGCAGAAGAATTAGTATGCTTTAGCTTTGTTTTTTTTTTTTTTTTGGTTTATTTAAATCATTAACTTACGTTTATATGCTCCTGCAATCCCTGACTGGGTGAGACATCTCTGTAGCTCATCAGCATCTATTTGTCCATCCTTTCGATAACAGAAGATGTATCAGCTATTGTTTTAATTCCCTCTCCCAGACGGGTTATTCCCAGTACCCACTCCCTTTTCAGTGGCATTAAATTAGTTACCCTTTCAAGAAACAACTGATTACCTGCCTGCTATATGACAAACTGCCTTTTAGAACCCATATCTGTAATGATGTTTTTTTAGTTGGTATTTCTGCAATATGCATTAGCTTTCCCATCTAGCAACGTACTAAATAATGAACAGGATTGGCAGGTTTGTTCCAAAAAAAACCAAACCCACAACAAATATTGGTAGCATGTACTTCAGAGCCAGATGCATAGAAACCAACGTGCAAAATTTTGAACTGAAAGACAGCTTTCCTTAAAGTACTAATTTCAACTTAGCGGGTATTGTAATAATTTTTGATTATACGTTCATGCTACATTAGGAAACCTAGAACTTAGATCATATAAATTCTCTCCGAGGCAGCCTTAAGACTTACATATCTAAAAAACCTCTGTTTTTTTGGGAATAGTAAGTTGTTAGCAAAACAAACAAAAGCAGAAAGCAAATAATTTTGAAAGACAAACAAAACAAATCCAGAAAAGATACCTATCTGCATGGTTTGGAAAATGACTCACTTCCCACACATCCTGCTCAGGGCCAAAGAGAGAAAACAACTGCCAATTCATGGAAAGCAATGAGCTGTCAAAAGTGAAGCTGGAATTCTAGGTCACATTCCTCCAACACCCAACAGCAAGTTTGGTTCACATAGAGTTTGAATATAATTTGACCTCATTCAAGGACCTAACATTATATCCGTAGATATAAAAATATATAAAAAATGACGTGGCTTTTGTAAAGCATTAAATAGTAAATAGAGAGTTGCTTTAAATTCGAAACAAATTTATTTGCCTCAGCATTTTCCTAATGGTTGTAAATTCAGTAAGCATTTTTTTTCATCTTTTTTTAAGATGCTACTAAATGGCATGGTGGGAATGGCACGGCCAGGTAACTTTCAGAAATGAAGTATCATCATTTATAGGATAAATAGTAGGTAGTATGTTAAATGATATTTGACAAGGTCTGAAAAAAAAGCAACAGTGTTGTGATTCTCTGTAAAATTAAAGGTAGCTAAACCCAAAATTGCTTCCAATCTACTCCATCAGTCTAACTATACAGATGTATTTAAAACTTTACATTCACAGGAAAATTAAGAGACTTGAAATAGCCACACATATTAAACAGCAAATCTCTTCAAACCTCCTGTGCCTTCTGAAACAAAGGCAGGATCTACATAACATTAAAATGGTTAGGAAGACAGAAAAGCATGATTTGTAATAATGTTTAATGTTACTTATTATTACAGATGCTTGGCTTTTTTTTTTTTTTTCCCCCCTGAAGTAGAACTTAAGCAGTTAAATCAGACAAGACATGGGGGCTTTTCAAACAGACTTAAAACCAAGACTATCACTTCCTACAAAGATAGACTCATTAATTTAATAAAGATTCGAAACGATACTTTTTACTTTCTTCTGTAAATAAAGGAAACTAATTCTTCAAATCTAAAACAAGAAGTCTGCTGTAAACTACTCCAAAGAAAGCTCTGAGGTAACACTATGCGTTTAGCCATAAAAACAACACTGAAACCAGCAGACCATGTTCAAAAATGTTACTAATTCTACAGTAAGTACTTACAGAAAACTGTGAGATGTGGCTTTTTACAGACTTGCACGGATGGCTGTAAAAGCAACTGACAATTTATCTGTTCCATTTCACTGTCTCCTTACAGGGTTTTTACCTCTGCGCAGCCACTAGTCTGTGAAACTGACTTCCAGTTCTAAGCATAACATTTCAAAAGCTGCCCAGTTTATTTCAGTAAGGAATGATTTCTACAAATAGAAAGTATTTAAGAGTACTAACTTAAGTACTCTTAAGCACCAACTTGATCATAGCTATTAGCTATCTCACTGGTTCCCCAGCTTTCAGTAACCATGCCTCCCTTGAGAAGCCTGGGGACAGTCTATGCCTTGCTGAGGCCCAGCTCCTCTTCTCCACAGCACTGCATCCTGTTTGCTGTTACCTCCTTTTCTCTTTATGCTGGGAGCTTACTCATTTTTCCAGCATCAGTTACTGGCTCCACGGTGGATTCCTGGCACACATCCCGGTGGCACCTGGATGCAGAGGCATCTCAGCTGTCAGGCAAGTTCTCAGCACATTCAGCAGAATTTAGCTTGGGCTCCACCTTACTCGAGAGGCCTGCCTCACTACACGTTGGTCATTCCAGTGTTTCCCTTTACTACAAAAATACATGGTCTACATATTTTCATAAGCAATGTTAAAGAAGTAATATACAGACTGTAAGGTGCATTATTAATTCAATATAATAATGTACAGAACAAAAATAACCTGAATCACAGTCTTAAACTGGGAATTTAAACATCAGATAATATTCCCAAATTCAAATTTTCATGTTGTGGTTATGTCTACCTGTGGAGCAGAGTTTCAGATCTGCACACAACCTAGAAGTATGCAATAAATAGCTATACATAAGCTTCAGCTCAATAAACCTAACTTATTTGCTCCTAAACATTGTAATGCAGTTCAAGAACTACTTATTTCTAGTAACATCTGTAATCATTCAAAACCAATATATGACACAAAATTACAGGAAATAAATTAAAAACGCAGTGCAGAATGACAGGCAAGAAAAAAAGAAAGGTCTAAATCAAAGTTGTGAATGCCTTTTCCTATAAAAGAATAATCATTCTATCCTACCAGCAAACCCAGATATTGGCATAACTCAAGACTGCTTTTCCATTTGTGAGTCTACTAAGATCACGTAATGACCTCTTCCTTATTAGCACTTCCTGCTCTTAGCCAGGCCATTTCCACAGCCCATGCTTCCCATTGTTTCTTGCTTCTTTCTCCTGAAGCTGACAGCATTCCCCAACCCAGAGCAGAGCCACAATTCAGTTACAACATTTAATGTAACTATATATTTCCTGTATATACTATATATTATTCAAACTGCGTATTTACTGTGTGTATATTGCTATATGGTATAACTATACAGCTATGTATAACAGATAGGCTAAGTAAAACCATTTTTTTTTTTTTTTTTTAAACTTGAAACCACAGTTTTCCTCACTGATAGACATTCCTCTTTCTAAAAGCTAACATAAAAATCATTCCCCGGAAAAAAATAATCCAAGAAATAAATAAAATTTTATATGTTTACCTGCCCTGCTACTGCAGCAAAATAACCATATAATGGATCCTGAGCTTCTCCAGGGAATGCTGGTCCTCCTGGAGCTCCTCCATACTTTAGAAATCAAAAAGAAAATGAATTTTAAATCAATGATTCAGTTAACTGTTAAGAAACTGCAGTGTTTGTACTTAGGAATAAACTTGTGTTTTTACATAAGCATGAAAAAAAGTCAAGCCAACCAAAAAATAAATTCCTTTAAAAAACCCCACTAATTTATTATAATTTAAGCAGATCAGTGTAAAACCTTGCATAGGAACAATCCACTGATATCTAGACACAGTACGGTATAACTTATCAAGGTTGAATTTTTAGTGTACTACTAGCAGAAAATAGGGTACTGAAGACTGATAAGGGACTGCATATTTTTCTTTCCACTTCAAAAAAGTTGAGTGAGGCAGATCTCTATGGAAAATACTTGGAAGAATATGCGTTAAGCATGGAAAATTATAATAAAACTGAAAATAATAGAATGACAGAAGTTAACCCAGTTTATCCGAGCTGAACCAATAATCTGTCCCACAAGGTCTACACCCATCTTTTGCCGAGACACGAACATGCTGGTTTTGGAGACGGCCAGAGTTTGATGAAGTGTACCTGGCTCTTCGAAGCCGCTCATCTCTTTACCGGCCCCACGAAGGGAAGACAGCTTTCCCCGAGGTGTCAGACACAAGACCTCGCCCGGGGGACCGCGTGGGGAGCCGACTCGGGGAGCGACCCCCCAGAAGTGACTTTCGCCCACCCGCAGCACCCGCCGGGCACCCCGCGGGGCCGCGGCAGGCAGGGCGCCGGAGGGCCGGGCAGAGCCCCGCCTAACGCGGCTCTCGGCGCTTCCCCGCGGGGGCCGGAAACACCGACCGAGGCCGGCGCCCCTCACCGCGGGCGGATCGGCCCGGAGGGCGCCTCAGGTTCCCGGCACTGCGCGGCAAGGCAGGGGAGGGGCTGCCCCGCCGCAGGCGCCATCGTCCCCGCCTCAGTCAGGCTGCCCCGCAGCCGTGGCGGCCCCGAGCCCAGGCTCCGGGCGGCTCCGGGCGGCTCCGGCCGCGCCGCGCCCCGCCAGCCCCAGCTCAGCCCGCCGCCAGCCCCCGCTCACCCCGCCCTGGTAGAAAGCGCCGCCGGGCGCCGGCTGCCCGGGAAACGCCATCTTCGCCTGGCACCTGCCTCGCCCGGGCGCAACCACCCGGCCAGGAACGGGGGGGGACCAGGACGGGCCCCGGGCTCCACGAAAGGACCGGGCATGGACGCTCTGCCAGCCACGCGGGGCAGCTAGCTGCCTCCGGTCACCGGGCTAGCCGGGAAGTGCACGACGGTACCGCCGGGGGCTGGCGGACCACCTCCTCCAACCCTCTCACCCCCCGCCATCGGGGTGGTACAGGCCGCCGGCCCGGGGGCGGCTTTTCCTCCCCACAGTAAGTGGGCGGTGCGGCGCTGCTGCGGGGACCGCCCGCTTCTACCGGAGGGGCGGGCGGCCCAGCCCGGCCCGGCCCCGCCCCTTCCCCTCCCCTGCCTTTTGCGTCGCTGAAGGGTGTTGTCAGGACGGGGAGCGCCGCGGGCCCTGGAGGGTGTGGGGTGAGGCTCGGGGATCGAAGAGGAGCGGGTTCAGCTCGCCTGCAGGTTGTCCCCGCCGCGGGAGCGGCTGCCGGGCACACGCGGGAGGCAGCGCGGGCACCACCGAGCCTGCGGCCCTGGGCGAGCGGCCGCGGGCGACCCAGGGGCTCCGGGGCTGCTGCGGCCCGCCCGCGGGGCCGCGGTCCCCGTCACGGCCCAGGGGCTGCTGCTCCTCGGGAGTGGGTGTCATCTTACCTGTAGCTCCCTTTAAGTACTGGAAGGCCGCTATGAGGTCTCCCTGGAGCCTTCTCTTCTCTAGGCTGAACAACCCCAAATCTCTCAGCCTGTCCTCATAGGGGGGTGCTCCACACCCTTGATCATCTTTGTGGCTTCTGGACCCACTTGAGCAGGTCCATGTCCTTATCTTGAGGGCCACAGAGCTGAATACAGTACTGCAGGTGGGGTCTCAGGAGAGTGGAGCAGAGGGGGAGAATGCCCTCCCTTGACCTACTCTTCACACTTCTCTTGCAGCCCAGGATACAGTTGCTTTTCTGGGCTATGAGTGCACATTGCTGGCTTATAGTCGGTTTTCCATCCACCAACACCCTCAAGTCCTTCTCCACAGGGCTGCTCTCAGTCCCTTCATTGCCCAGCCTGTACTGATACCAACGGTTGCTCCAATCGGTGTGGAGGACGCTGCACTTGGCCTTGTTGAACTTCATGAGGTTTGCATGGGCCCACCTCTCCAGCCTGTCCAGGTCCCTCCGGAGGGCATCCCTTCCCTCCAGCGTGTCAGCTGCACCACACGGCTTGGTGTCGTTGGCAGATTTGCTGAGGGTGCACTCAGCAATACCTATCTCACAAGAGTATTTGAATAAGCATCTGTTGATACCAAGCTTTGCAGCAGTCAAATAGTTTTATTTACCAGGCTTAATCATGTGCAGTGTAGGTTAATGGAAACACTGTGCTGAACCTTTTTAGAGTACATATATTAACTTCTGGGCAAGAAGCCTTCCTAATTAAAATAAGATCTATATACAGTGATAAAAATATTAAAGGCTGGAAAGATTGAAAATAAGTGACAAAGAATGTAAGTGGTTAGATTTGAAGAGTTATACACTGATAAGCAAAATGTCAACTAGTATATATATATTGCCAATAGATTAAAGATAATAGGAAGGAATTTTTAACTGCTTTAGTGAGAAAAAAACAGATAAGACTCAGACCAGTTGGGATAAAGATACTAAAACTGTTCAACTGTAGCTGTGTAGAAAGGATATACATATTTTATAAGTTTGTGGTTTGTTTTTTTTTTGCTTGAACTCAAACACCTACTCATCCTCCATTTGCAGTGCTTCTGAGGCTACTGGCAATGAACACTGTACTCAAAAGTTAAGATTTGCAAGATTATTTAAATTCAATCACACATAAGCAAAAGAGCAGAGACAGATGTAACAGGTGGTGCACTTTATATATTTTGTTAGGTAGGCATTTTGTTTGCACTGGTGCATTTGTTTATTCAGTTTTTATCTGAGAAAAGGGAAGGCTGCAAAAGAAGGTTCTTCAGGATTAACAAGTGCACATCTGCCCTCTGAAGGGCTACTGAGCTATGGTAACTTTTTAAGTTACAGTAAGATCATCACATTAGAAATACCCAGTAAGAAATCTGTGTAAAATAAATAGCTACTGATTTTGCAAATCTCAAAGAATATGTAATCCCTCTAGTGGGAAGACTGAAATCAGGCAACACAGAATGCTAGTTCTGTTGCCTGTTTTTGAGATAATACAGTATATTTTCCTAAGAAAAGACCCAAGTAAAATAATTTTGTTTAGAAAATGAAAATTCTGTGTGCAGTTTACATTCCATAGGTTTTTTCTGGATCCTTTGTGGTAGGATGTGAAGAAAGAATTCAAAACAGAGCTACAGTAATAGCATTACTGCCTTAAAATCGGATCACAAGTCACATTCATTGCATGTACCACATTTCCTCACAGTGAACAAAGTCTAGCATAAACCCACTGCAAGTCATGCACTTTCTGGTTGCCCATCTTCCCTCTGCTAAGTCTGGGTACGGTTAACCCTGACATGAGCTCACACGTGATGTGGGAATTCAGCCACCCTGAACCGATGGCCTTAAGCCACACCGTGCTGCCACTTACATTCCCATCTGGTGCAGAGGCTAGTGGCTCCGTGGCGGCGTGCTGAAGGTGTCATGCTTTCCTGGCAAGCTGGGCGTGGAATTTTTCCCTTCCAGAACTGCAGTAAAAGAAACTTGGGAGGAGACAGGGAATCAAAGTGTGAAGTTTGAATTTCCTGAAATGTTTAGCCCGTCTGAGGGGATAAAAGCTTGAGAGTAAGTATACTCTCAAGGAGGGACAAAGAATAATCTCCTTACCCTTTCAACTGCCATAACTTGAGAAGCATAAATTCAAACAGCAGAAACATAAATATAATACAGACCAGAAGTCTTTAATATAATGTCTCACTTGGTGCCCAGAATGAATGGTGCTCCACTGTTCTGCTTTTTCTTCTCTTTGACACTAACCTTTCTTTTTCTACTTACTGCACATGATTTATGCTCAGTTCTGCAGCCAGTTATTTTGTACTAGAGTTTTCTGTAATATCCAAGTTTTATGTGGAAAGCATCAAATAATGTGCTTTCAAAGGTAGGGGACGGGGGGAGGGATTTCTCTCTCTTTATAGGTAAAGAGAGTACAGAGATTAAAATTTTCTATAAATTTTGATTGTCCAGTTTCACCTACCTCAATTTTCTTACATCCTTTATGACTTCCAGACTCACTTTTCCCTCCCAGATCCAACCTCTTTAACAGATGGTCCAATGATGACCAACTTGCTTGTTCTGTGGTCCTTCGCTTCCTCTCCTCTGTGTTCAACTTTGTGGGAATTCTTCATCATGCACTGGGCATCAGCGAGAGTGTCAATGAAGGCCTAAAACAAGACAACCTTAATTGTGGATGGTGCAGCTAGTGAGGTTTTGGTATTGAGATTTTTGAGGCTAACAATCAGCTTTTATTCATTGCGGTACAATAACACAGTTTAGTACATCCATTTCATTATAAAAATAGCAGTTTGTGCATTCCGCAGGCATGAGTTCTTTACAGAACTAAAGCTAAAATACAGTTTTTCAGTAACAACATTAATTTATAGGATCTCACAGCTTGCAGTCAGATGTTTCCCAAGATGGTCTTTAACTAGTTATAATTACGGTATAAAGCTATCTGAAGATAACAGTGATACATGCCTGTGACTTGGAAAAGACATTTACAATTCTGCTTACTTTGCATCTCACGTTACAACTGATCTTTATTCCTTTACCACTACCTTATTTCAAAACCTTCAGTACTGAAAACTTGGATCATTTAAAAGAGATTGATGAGCAAGTCCTGTAAGCTCCTTTAATCCTTTTGTTGAATAACATGGGGTCAGGATCTCGAGCTGCTGTTTTCACCAGACAGAAGCCAGAGCATGAAAATGAACTGTGTATAAATGATTGCAGCACAGAACAAGTTCAGCAATAAGGCATCTGATTCCCTCTGTATAGCACTTTTTGCAATCATATGTGTCAGCATATGTGTTCTGATAAATATATGTATTATGCAACTTTTCTTCTGATAGGGTAAGACTCAGGTGTACTGGCAGGAAGATAAGCATTTTTTAAGTCTCGTAGGTGCAAATGGAAAGAAAGTGCTATGAATCCTGATTCTTCTGAAGCAGTGTCTTGGGTATTCAGCTACAAGGTATTCCTGGTTCCATTCCCTGTTTTCTGAATGATTTAGTTAAAAACCTGTCGCTATCTAATGAAAAAATGGACAAATAGTCCAGGAGGCCAAGTGTGAAATACATAATCTATGGCTAAAGAAAAAGATCCTGCTTGTTTGTTCTCTTGATTAAATTTTCAGTTGCGCTGTGGCTTTGTTTGAAGATGTGAGCTGAAGCATGTTGTTTTACAGAATTCCCTTGAGCTAGGCATTTAAAGGATGACTTGTTCTTGGGTAGCCTGCAACTAATTTCTGCCACTTTGTGGGTGAATCCTCTAAGTACTAGGGGTTACTTATGCATTAGTTATGCAAAAAAAAAAATGACACTGTGCTGTTCTCCCCACCATGTTTTGCAGTGAGCTCAGTTCTGCCAAGTGATTCAGTTGGAGGATTTAGGAATTATGCTCTGCTTGAGCACCAAAATGGTGGTAGGTGGGAAATAAGCTCATAGCTGGTTAGTCAGCCATGGGGAAGTACTTCTGGGCAGAAAACCAGCATGCAGAGTGTAGAAATGGTGTTTCAGGTGTCTAAATTCTGTGATTGCTACCCATTAGGTCCACTTGGGCTCTCATTTTTACCTCCTAGGTTTCTTGAGAATCTATGCACATAGTGTTTGTTCTCTCCATGTCTAATGCTTGAACTGAGTTGACACCACTGCAGTGCTACCAGA